AACAAAGTTTCTGAGATGAACACTTCACCGTCAACGACTGATAGTAAGGATAAAAAGCCAACATCTAAAGATGCCTCTCATGCTAGGAGGAGATCAAGGGGTCAATCTTTCAGTGCCGGCCAAGTTGCATTATGCCCAAATACTGCACCCAAGCCAGCCGTGCAACAGTCAGCGATCATGAAGAAGGAGGAAATGTCTGTTCAGATTGATGGTGTGCGAGTGATACTCATTGGTGATTTGCATATGCTCCCACTTGTTGACTGGAGGGTAAACCAGTTTAATGTAGATGTTCGCGACTGGTCCGGAAACATGAGTGCGGATACTACATTGGATACCCTTATCAATGTCTACAATTTCTCGAAATCTGCCTGGGAACCGTTGATTGAGCCATGGCAACTAGGATTCCATATGTCAAAGGAGATAGCTCCGGATGTCCTATCAGTTGAAGCATATTCGCACAAAACTATGGAGCTTACTGTGACATCTGCTACTATCGCATTGGTGAACAAAACCCTTCAGTCCGTATCCACTACCGAGGACGTCCTTTCAAAACCAAGGGGGGCAGACGCGCCTTATAGAATTCGCAATCATACCGGATTTGACCTTCAGGTATGGGCAGACCTCGGAAACGGTGAAGAGGGTCCAGCTGCGCTCCTGAGCGATGGTGAAGAGCGGCCCTGGAGATTCGAAGATCCTACCACCATGCGTGAGAGCCTGGCTCCAGAGGGCAGTGTTGGTATGGTTGGAGTTAAATTGGAAGGTAGTGGATTTGACAGCATTAACCGCATTCCTCTCATCCGCGAAGGGGAGACGCTATATAACCTGAAACCGAAGCAAGATAGGGTTTTGCACCGATTACTAGTGGAAATCAGTCTTGGATCTGACTACGTTAAATATATAACCTTCCGGTCTCCACTTCTGGTCGAAAACAAGACACAAATACCTCTAGAAATTGGCGTATTCAGTCCGGAAGAAGGACATCTGTTGAAGATAGAAAAGATCCTTCCTGGAGATAGTCGACCAGCTCCTATTGGTGCGGCATATATGCGTTCACTTCTCGTTCGACCAGATCAGGGCTTTGGCTACGACTGGTCAACAGAAAGCCTGTTTTGGAGGGATCTTTTGAAACTTCCTACGAAATCTCTCAAGTGCAACAGCGAGAGTGGGCAGCAAGCCCCTCCATTCTATTTTAGGATGCATGCCACGTTTGACAAGAATGATCCGATTCACAATGTATACCCTTATATGCGCATTCGACTTTCGGCCCCGCTTGAAATCCAGAATCTCCTTCCATACGACTTCAAGTATCGCATATACGACAGGAATACACGTAAAGATTGGACAAACTTCCTTCGGAAGGGAGGAACTAGTCCTGTCCACGTGGTTGAGCTGTCTCACCTACTGCTTCTCAGTATAGACATGGAAGATACGGAATTCCGGCAATGCGAATTCGCAATTATAAATGGAACTCCTCAGGATGATTTCCGTAAGGAGCACACTCTGTCCATCCAAGACGACAAAGGAGTTGAACTCAAACTGGGGCTCCATTACTTTGCAATTCCAGATAGCGGCGGGTCGTTCAAAGTATCCGTTTATAGCCCTTATCTTATTCTAAATAGGACGGGTTTGGATATAAACATCCAGAGCAAGAGTATGTTCCAATCTACCAGGACATCAGCGGGCCGTGCAATTAGAACGGACTCATCTAGCGGTGTTCGAAAAGCCGTTCCGTATATGTACTCATATGCTACGAATGACCGCAAAAATCGATCCATTATCAAAGTTGAAGGCTCATCGTGGAGCAAGCCTCAAAGTTTAGAGGCGATTGGAAGTACCTTTGAAGTACTGTTCCCCTCCGCAAGCGGCAAAACGGAATATCATGCTGGAGTGTCTGTCGAAGAAGGCACCGGCAAATATAAAATCACGAAGGTTGTGACAATCGCTCCCCGCTTCATTCTTAACAACAAGCTAGGCGAAGATCTTGTTGCTCGCGAGCCGGGGTCCTCCAATGTTCTTAGGTTAAAGTCTGGCGACCTTGTTCCGCTGCATTTCCTTCGGCAAAATGCCGAGAAGCAGTTGTGTCTGTGTTTCCCTGGTGTGAACAACCAATGGGCGTCTCCGTTTAATATCTCCGATCTGGGAACTGTATATGTGAAGCTTGCCAAGGCAAGCCAACGCCAGAGGCTCCTGAGGATAGAGATTCTCATGGAGGCAGCGACGATATTTTTGCATATAAGTATGGAGACTCGGCATTGGCCATTTTCAATGCGTAATGAGAGTGACTGTGAATTCCTATTTTATCAAGCTGTAAGTCCCGATTCCCTGATTTTGAGTGGAGCCACTCTACTAACGGCGTGTAGAACCCAAATGTGGCGGAAGACGAAGAAGACCGAAGTAGTGGTTGGAGGCCCATTCGTTATCGGCTTCCCCCACGAAGCATTATGCCATATGCTTGGGACTATCCAGCTTCTAAGAATAAAACACTGGTCCTCGTTTGCCGCGGAAAGGAAAGATATATCAAGCTTACTGAGATTGGTAACTTGATACCCATGAGAGTTCCACCGTCCCAAGAGGACGTCCAGCCGAAGATCATCGACCTGCGAATCGAAGCTGAAGGTCCAGCACAGATACTTGTGCTGTCAAATTACAGACCATCCAGGAGTATTTACCGTCAACAAAAGCCAACAGCTTCGCAAAGCAGCATCTCCACGGGATTCGAAGTCAAGCATGTTAATACAGATGTCACTTTTAAGGCTCAGCTACGATTAAGCGGAATAGGAATTTCATTAATCAACAAAAAGCTTAAGGAGCTCGTCTATGTCACATTCCGCGATATCGAAGTTAACTTCAGTGAATCGAAGCTTTATCAAACTGTTGGCACTACAATCAAATGGATTCAAATTGATAATCAGCTTTACGGTGGCATATTCCCGATTCTACTTTATCCAAGTGTCGTTCCGAAAACCGGGAGAGAAATGGAGGCCCATCCAATTTTCAACGCGAGAATTACTCGTGTAAAGGATGATTCTTATGGAGTGCTTTATATCAAGTATGCCTCCGTCCTCTTACAGCAGATGACTTTGGAACTCGATGAAGACTTCATCTTTGCCATGCTTGATTTTGTGAAGGTCCAGGATACACTATTGATGGACGACCACCAAACGCAGTTCGGTGAGGAACTCGGGTTTCCAGAGCCTAAAGGAGAAGACCAAGGCACGGGTGTCTACTTCGAATTACTCCACATACAACCAATGCAGTTAGATCTGTCATTCGTGCGTACCGAGCGTGTCAATGTGGAAGACACAGTCGAGTCTTCCAACCCGTTAATGTTCTTTGTCAACGTGATGACTATGTCCATCGGCAATGTTAACGATGCTCCAGTTCGATTAAATGCGCTGATCCTGGAGAATGCCAGGATATCTCTCCCTACCCTCGTGACAAATATCACCAATCATTATACTCAAGACTTCCTGAGACAAGTACATATTGTACTGGGTTCCGCCGATTTCTTGGGTAACCCTGTTGGTTTGTTCAATACAGTTAGCTCTGGCGTTGCAGATATATTCTACGAACCATACCAGGGACTAGTAGCTGATCGACCAAATGAGCTTGGCCTAGGCATCGCTAAGGGTGCTACGTCGTTTGTTAAGAAGTCTGTATTTGGGCTATCTGACAGTCTTACCAAGTTCACTGGAAGCGTTTCAAAAGGTCTTGCCGCTGCAACGTTGGATAAGGAGTTCCAGGATCAAAGGCGAATGTCAAAAGCTCGAAACAGGCCCAAACATGCCCTTTATGGTATTACGGCTGGTGGAAGTGCATTCGCTTCGAGCATGGCTAGTGGTATTGGAGGCTTAGCCCGCCATCCACTAGAAGGTGCTGAGAAAGAAGGATTCCCTGGCTTTATGAAAGGTGTTGCAAAAGGAGTGTGGGGTCTGGCAACGAAGCCAGCAATTGGCGCATTTGACCTCGCTTCCAGTACGTTATCTCGATGTTCACTTATTCCCATTTCCCACTAACGTTAATTTGTAGATCTCGCTGAAGGTGTTCGAAACACGACCACCGTCTTCGACCCTGAAGGCCTGGATCGTGTCCGTCTTACTCGATTCATTGCCATGGATGGCATTGTCCGGCCATATTCTCAGCGAGAAGCTCTTGGGCAATTCTGGCTCAAAACTACGGATGACGGCAAATACTTCAACGAAGATTACATTGCACACCTGGAATTCACTGGAAAGGATATGCTGGTTCTGCTAACCTACAACCGCATCATGCTCGTCAGGTCGAAGAAATTAGCGACTGAATGGGACATCAAGTTAACCGACATCCAGAAAATTTCGAAAGAAAGAACGGGAATGAGCATTACCTTGAAGGGTGGAGCTAACGGTCCCTTTATACCTGTACAGGAAGAGAGTTCAAGGAATTGGCTGTATAAACAAATCGCCATTGGTAAGTATATCTCTGTTACGAGAAACGGACTTTTACTAATTGGTGATTTTCAGCTGTCAATGCTTTTAATGAAAAATATCTTGCAAAAGGTTAAATTCCTGATGCCTCACAGTTCCATATGCAATCCAAAAAATTGGATGCATAACCCAAGAAGGTTATTTTCGTTCTACATGTTAATGCTAATATATTTATGAGCGTTGTGAAAATATTTTCCATTATATCCCGGTCTCTCAGAGAGTCGAGACGAATTGGGTATTCTATGTTATGGGAATCCCTTTGCTTTTTCTATTGCGTATTGTTTACTTTGTAGCTACATAAGTAGCCGGTTTTGGTTGGTTCAATTTCATGATCATATGTATCCTTTTTTGGTGTTTTAGGTGTAAATAAGGAATGGGAGCACACGCCCGGTGTTGGATGACGGGCAAAGGGCAAGTCGGGACCTCATGCAAACTCTCCTCGGAACTGTGATATGGATTATAGACCTCATTGCTCTAAATTATCCACTAAGCATGCATTGTCGAAGGTGCTCTCCTCAAACTATAAAAACAGCGATATTATTTCCCCTCTGCCTTCGCAACAAGTCCGGCATCTAAACCCACTGGCTCCCACACGTCCTTTGTTTTCCTATTCTGTGCCCATACCACGTCTCCTTTCAGATACACTAACACGCCTCCTTTCCCGCTCGCGCTAGCAGTTATTCTAAATAGCGGTAGTCCAGTTTGAACATGTGCTTCGCGAAGTGGAACGATGAGTAGGCCCTCGTCAGCGCACCATTCTTCGAGAATATCCTTAAATGTGGGTTCTTCGATTTGTTTTGCTCGACGAGAGGGTTGAGGTGATGGCTCTTTAGGGACATGGTGTCTTCCGTGGATCTCTTTCTGGAGATGATGTTGTTGCTCTTTGCTAGATTTGGGTGGTGGCAGTTCTGTTTTCGCTTTGTCACCAAGATCAAGTGCTTGGTTCATCATTTCAAGTCCCCCATTCCACTCTTCAATGACGTCGTCTATAGCATTGATTTCTTCTGGTATCTGCGACTTCCACCACGTAAACCACTGCCCGACTTCTTCGTAGTTAGGATCAGAGGTTAACCAGAGGTGTAATATTGAGTGCCATTTGGGGAAGAATTCGGCGCAGAGAAGGAGAGCGAACACGTTTGGTTTGAAATAACGTCTCCATGCCATCACATCTTCGAAGGTTGTCAGGTCCTGATCTTGGGGGTTAACCTCGAAGTTTTCGCGTAAATGCCTTGCTAATCTGGGTAAGAGGTGATTCCTAAGAGCCGTATCAAATTCGGAACCAAGAACATCCTTCCACAAGTCGATATCCTTGAGTAGTCCTTTTCTAAGGTCCCACTTGTCCAAGACGCTGCGGAACTTGCGCTTTGTATCCGATAAAATGCCACTGGGCGCTTTTGGATCAGTATGATGGTCACCCAAATAACGTAACCAATCAAAAAGGAACCAAGGGAATTGTTCCGACGACTCGTGCCTACTTCCCCTCTTAGGTCTCCAACCTTTTATTGCGGTACTAAGTTTGGGAACAATGACTTGATCAAGAAGGTTTGAGAGGACAAATTCGGGCAGCATATCTTTCCAGGAGTCGATCAACGATGTGGCTGGGGCTGGATCCTGTACATTCCAATCATTGACAAGGGCAGAGCGAACGCGAGGTAGCCAAATAGTATAAAATAGAGTCTCGTATAAAGTTGTGGACTGCCGAGCGTGAAGTTCATACTCTTCGTCCGGGTCATGCTCTTTCGCATTCATAAGTCGATATAGTCGTCGAATATTTGAGACAAGGTAGTCTGGTCTGTTGAGTGGTTCCCATTCCTCCATAGATTGCCGGAAAAGAGGTTGGATAGCAGCAACGGCAATTTTAGGCAGCCCGTACTCAACAAGGACGTCTTGATATCGAGATTCGATATCTTCTAGGATCTTCGTTGTTTTTTCCCATCGATCATCAAGCGTATCCTCGAGGCTCATATTCTCCAAAGCCTGGACCGCTGATTTCAGTGACGACATTTGCTCAATCTTCTTCTGCGTCGTATCTATCTCTTCTGCTACTTGGGCTTTCTCGAACTCGACAAACTTTTTTCTCTCCTCGATGCTTTTCCATTCATCGGCGAATGCTTCCAGCTCATTCCGCGCTCTTTGCGCGATCTTGAGGGCTTCAGATTCCTCTGCGCTAACAAAGTCCAATTGTGTCATCAAGCCAGCTGTGGATGTTAACAGCTTTGGTTCCTTTCCCGTCGCATCAATTAGGGATTTCAAAACGTTGGGGATTTCCAGACCAGCTGTATCCGTTTCGAGTTCTCGCGCCGTTCTATACTTCTGTTTCGGAGCACCTCTGGGTGTGCTCGTGCCACTAGTACCTTCAGCCCCTAGCCTACGTGCTTCTCTCCGTTTCTGGCGCCTGGCCAGCACCTCATCTGAGCTGTCTTCTAAAACTTCGCCTCTTCTGGTGGCTTCACGTTTGGCCTCCTCTCTCGCCTGTTTAGACCTTTCTCTAACAGCTCCCAAACCGATACCCTGTGGTCTCAAAACATGTTCAACAGGATTAACAATACCCTGACCGGTTGCACCGAGACCCTGACCTTCGACGTAACCCATCTTTGCCATCATTCGGGCGGCAAAGGAGTTTCCGCCCATGGACGACGGCTTCCCGCCGGGGCCTGGTTTCGGAGAGGAGGTATTCTGGTTGCGCCATGACGGGCGATTCGCGGGCTTCGTGGCGGCGGGAGGAGAGGGGGATCTTGACGAAGCTGAAGCAAACTTCTGAAAGCCGAATGCAGGTCTGTAGTTCTCTTCTTCTTCAGATTCAATGTCGTTTATCTTTCGTTTATGGCCAAAGGACGGGCGATATGTCGACTCCATGGTTTTGTGGCAGCTAGTTAACCAACTACCACTGATTAAGAAAACATAAGCAGCAAGCTCAAGAGAAAGAAAAGCTCCGTCTTCTATCCTAGTATCATCGCCGTCCCATCAGGGGCTTCCTCAGGGCGTTGATTGTCTGCCTGCTGTCGCTGTTCTTCTTCATTCAAAAGAGTCCAGCATTGCCCCTTTGGGGAAGGCGGTATGAATTACATAAGCACATCATTAGATAATCGCAGGTGGGGCGACAATGACGTTTTGCCAAGACCCAGCTTACTGATGAAGGTAGGCACGGGGATTAGTAAACACTGACCATCCGCTGTTGCCCTTTCTGCCCGGATTTCTGAGCGACTGGCCGAACTCTGTCATAACATTTCCTTGAATCCTTCTGCCCGGGTATAAAAAGGTTCAATTTCTCCTGTATACTCGTATTTTGCTCTCATATAGCATTTCCTGCTTCATTGATGGTGCTGCGTCAAGAAGTTTCACATTCTGATTCTTAACGAAAAATTTACCGAGAAGACTGTCTCTCACAATCACGATGGCTACAACCGCTCTCCGCTCCTCGCTGCCCATCAGCGCTCTGCGTGCCGGCATCTCCACAGTCCGTGCCAGCAGAGCTGGCCTCTCAGGGATCGCTGGCTCTCGCTTCTTCGCTGCGAAGGCCACACTTCCTGATCTGCCCTGTATGTTTTGAAGTGCACCGATACCTGCTCCGAATCTCACTATGCCACTGTCACCCCTGTTGATCAAAGCCAGGGGATGCTAAATACTCCTCTCTTTCTTTCGAGTAAACAGATGACTATGGAGCTCTTGAACCCTCCATCTCCGGCAGAATCATGGAGCTCCACCACAAGAAACACCATCAAACCTATGTGAACTCGTACAACGACGCTGTCCAAAAGCTTGCCGAAGCCCAAGATAAATTAGACATCCAATCCCAGGTCTCATTGCAGTTCTTGACCAACTTCCATGGCGGTGGACACGCCAACCACTCCCTCTTCTGGGAGAACCTTGCCCCACGCAGTAACGGAGGCGGCGAGCCACCAAGCGGTCCGCTTGCAAAGGCTATTGACGACAAGTATGGCAGCTTGGAAGAGTTCAAGAAGAAGTTCAACGCGGCTCTGGCAGGAATCCAAGGAAGCGGCTGGGGCTGGCTGGTCAAGGATAAGCAAACTGGAGATATCATGATCAAGACCTATGCTGTGGGTGGACCTTTCCGGGTCTATGTTCTAAAGTTGGCGCTTCGTGGTTTTGAGCTGACAGTCCTTCTTCTTTTCAGAACCAAGATCCTGTTGTCGGACAATTCTCCCCTCTTCTAGGAATCGATGCCTGGGAGCACGCATACTAGTTAGTTCTCCCCGTCCTTATTCATTTTCATCATTCTCTTTCCCTGACTTATGGTTTCTAGCCTTCAATACGAGAACCGCAAGGCGGAATATTTCAGTGCCATCTGGGATGTTATCAACTGGAAGACAGTTGAAAAGAGATTTGCGTAAAACCGAGTAACTTAGGCCCATAGCTGGACTAGACGTCATCTGTATATTATCACACAACGGGTATTTAAACTGTCGGGCTTTGATTTTCAAAATTTACAAAAGGTCAAAATCTCTGGATGCCTTATTTGAATATGATAATAAAATCAATTTGTATTCGTGGGCTTAAACCATTAATTCTATGATCAAGGCTTCTTGAGCTAGTCATCAGTAGTAGCATCACAATATCGTGTCAGCATTATACTGCCAGCACTTATTCAGAAGGGCTCATTCCAAAGTACCAGAAGGAGTTCAACAATGCTGCAGGGGAGCTTAACATAGGGATATATTGTACAGTTGTAAGAGGAAGTAGCGCAAAGGAGGTCATCAATAGTTCATAAATAAAAAATAGTCGATAAGAATACAAGCACTCATGTAATTAGCATAATTTCGCATATTCGCAGCAAGTCATCAATAGTATGCGTGATAGCATTTTGTAGAATGTCATCAGAAGAGTCATGATAAACAAATACACATTCGAACAACAATCAATAAAGCAAGGCATCATTGCCAAGTGACAGAAACAGGCTCATAGTGTTAGTATTAAGGTTGCATGTTCATTGTACAGTGTGAATTTTTAAGTTAGTTGCCCGGAAAGTGGATGCCGAGAGCGACTTTTCATAGTCGAAGCGTGATTTGAGGTGCCAGGTTTAGGAGTCAACTGAACACTAGACCGATTTCTAATCTCGCATGCTGAATTTGGTCGCCCAGGAGGCTGAGAATTCAATCTCCCTGAAGCTTCGGAACCATTGGAATTTTTCGGGCCTTTAAACCAGGAGAAAACACTGTGCTGTGCACGGCGAAAGTTCTTGACATTCTCCATGCTGTTGGATGTGCGTGGTCTTTTAGCTAATTCGGCTCCTGTAGCAGAATGTAGGGAAAGAGGGCGATCTCGCGTCGTGGGTAATGGATCGAATTTTATACTACGACGGCGGGCGGTACCGGGCCGCTTATTTTGACTTCCACGATAAGGTTCTGTCTCTTCCGCATCCGGATCCGCAGAAAAGGGGCTGTTGGTTTTGGAACGACCGAAGATGCGGAAGGTGAAACGCCGGCGCATATCGTTTGGGTTCATTGAAGCCAGTCTTTTATGCCGAATACGACTAACAGGCGTCGTAGGAGGTCCAGCATTAGTCTGATCACCGGATTCATATGCTTCCGCGGATTTATAAACTTCTGGCTCCACGTCGGCCTGCTTGTCTGCCCGGGCAATATCATCGTTTGAGATGGGTAAGGCGGCTTCCAACCAATCCTCTGGAGACAGGATATGCGAATTTGTTACAGTTTTGTTGCGCGAAAACTGCGATATAGCCGAATCCGACATTGTCGACTTTATAGAAGCAGCATATTTTGGTGGCGTCACACTCGGGAGAGAATCGCCCTTCTTCGTGTCATAGTGACTTTCGTCGATATACATACCCGGGGGGGGTTCGGATAAGTGACGAGTATAGGTTGGGGGAGGAAACAAGCTGTTGAGTCGAGCGTTACGGTCGGCTGCAAAATCAGGATAATTCCAAGACTCAGCTCCGTTAAGCAGAGCAGTATCGGCGGTGCTAGGGCGAGTTGTTATATCTCCAGCCGATCCAGGACGACCCACGGAGGCCACACTGGTTACGGAAGAAAATATGCGTGCAGTCCCATACATGCTTCGCTCCTCAATGATGTTTGGATTAGACCGATTCCGAGGGTCGATGAAGGAAGTGCTCATAGTGTCTGGGGTGGGCGGTAGCCGTCCTCCAAAAGTTGCACTGTCTCGGGTGGGTGGAGGTTTTGACCCGGACGGATTACGTTTGGCTTCAAATGCAGCTCCAAGCGCTGGTTGTTTTCGAGATGAGCCGTGGAAACTTGGTGTTTCAGGCTTCGTAGGGGTCTGGTCGTGAGTGACCTGTAGAGGCGAATGGGCTGGGATCCATTGCTCAATCCGCGAGAACTTACTGCCAATAGCCTCATGATGTCTCACCGTTCCCGTGTCTGGGGATGGGGTAGAATTTTGGGAAGGTGTCATATTCGCTATCTGAGGTTGACCTAGCTTTATAGGACTTGGAGGCGGGTTCAAATCGCTGCACTCACTAAGAGCACTCAACCTTGGTGAATCCAATGCTTCCGACTCGTGGCCTGAAAAAATACTAAACCGCCGCGAGCTATTTACATCCTCGAAATATAGGCTTCGCAACGCACTTGTGCTTTCTGTCTGATCTTGGAGGAAGGACGGTTGGCGTCGCGTCTGCCGTAAAGAGAGGACGCGCGAGCGGCGAGACGTTGCGGAGGTTGTCCCTCTACGCGATGATGTCCTGTCCGGTACATCAATCATTGGTGCGTTCTTTGGCGTTTGACCCTCATCCAGAGCCTCGGTATATGGAACCGGTTCAATGATACGATAAGGGTGGGGGGTCGATGGCGCCTCAGCCCTTTCAGCTGCCATATCTTCAATTTTGTTTTCTAAATCGCATATAAGCCCGACTGCCTCATACAGGCCTCGATCTCGCCTGTCAAGCTCATTTTGAAGGTTCTGATTCTCTTCCTGTAATTCCACACGCGAGGCTTCTAGTTTCTCGATTTGCTCTTCCAATTCAGGTATTCGCTCCAGCTTCTTTTTCAAGGTATTTATATGTTCTATTCGGTGGACAATTTCGAGCTTCAAGTCAAATATTTCCTTGTTAATTTTCGATATGTACTGGATACAATTGTTAGTTTAAATCTGTCAACAATTTAGAGATACGAGCAGAAACACACCTTGTTCATTTCCCTGAGGCCCATGTCTGTTGGTTCTTTCAGGCCGGCAGAGATGGGGTTGTGAATGTTGTAGCTCTTCTCAGAAGTCGCCAAATTTCCTGACGGGTCTGCAGTAACACTTGGTGATCGGTCATTGCTGCCATGTTCTGATGAACCTGATGGGCGTGTACCACGAGCTGCGCGTCGTTCGTTGATCATATCTTTGAGGAGAGCAGAGTTCGGATTAACACCGAGAGGGGTAGAGCAAGCCCCTAAGCAGGTTCATTTCCAGTTAGCATTCTTCTTCCCATACAACAAGGGTCATTTCCAAGGTCAGATCTCACTCCGTGGCGTAATTGGCCGGTAGCCTCCTGGGGAAGAATGGCTATTGGACATGTCTCGGTAATCTGTGAAGGTGGTTAGATGGATAATTTTGCATAAATAGGGCTAACACAAGTACAACCTGCATGAACACCATTCACAGATGCCTTAGACACATGGAGAGAAGAACGCCTTGGTTGCCGATGTATGGTACGTTCCGGGGTGATTGATCCGCCTTTCTCACAATGACAGTTAGATCTGTGAGGGATGCTGATTTGGGTAATGGCGAGAGCTCACTCAGCTGCTTTCGACGACTGGATGACATCCTGGAAGGGTTGAAGTGCGCAGGTGGAGAGCCTGTGTTTATAGTGGACTGACGTCCCTGTTTGATTGAATCCATTTTTAATTGAGAGATCCGGCAGGTAAACAGTGAATGTCAAAACGCGTCCTTGTTCTTGATCACCTCTCTTGCAGTTTGATGATCATTCCGGCAGTTTCTAACATTAAATCAGGCCTTGTACGGAGTAAATTGCTTCGCTTTGTGTTGTGCAAGGAGCCCATTGAGGAATTGAGGATCGAGTGACAGGCAATTGCCGGCAGAGAAGACTGGAATTCGCGACAAAGATTCTTGCCTTGGAGGTGAGCGTTTTCCTCAAGAAAGAGGTGAAACACTCACATTCGCGAGCGAGCTGAAAATGCGACCGCAGACTTTCAGGGGAGACGGCAAGGAGGGGGATGATGTGCATCAACAGTGATAGCGTGTTTGCAGGGAGGCTGGCGAATCCCAAGCGGCGACGGCCATCCACACAAAGAGCTCCAACGCCGGGGAAATTTCCCTGCAACGCACGCTAAGTGCCGTCCTCCCCACTCCCAACGAAGCCCTTTCAAACCTCAATCGCTGGTGCGGTACGGGGTAGCAAACATCACCAAAGATTAAAGCGATGCGCCCATGATGTTGTTAAATTCAAAAACCTGCCCACACAGGAATAGAAAAGAACCACTGAATATTGTTATTTCTTGATTCTACTTTAGAAGACTCTTTACACAGTCAGTCTTTGGGGGGGGGATCGCAGCATCAATCATCGCTTGATGCGTCGTTAGCGCATGGTCCGGGCCATGCTAGCTAAGATTCAAAATTCCAGGGATCCCGCCGCCAGCCTCCCGAACCCTAACTCCTTGGTTCAGCTGCCATGCCGCCTATCAAGTTACTGTGACTTGCCAGCCAACTCGTGCGTTGTTCCCTGCATTGCCCCTTTCCTTTCTATCCCATCATATTGCTTCATATCCAACAAAATCGAGTTGTAATTCTTGCTATTTGACTGCTACAATGTCTCGAGTATCAAAGAATGGCCTTCAATAGAATAGAAATCGAATATCGTGGCTACAGTCGAGTTTCCAAACTATGCTGTAATCACAGAATATCATGCCAATATTGATGATATCATTGCTTGTATAAAAACAATCCCAGAGTACTCCGTACAAGCAGATGATTCTAAAGAAACACTAAACGAATGAAGACAAACCCTTTCAGATGAGAACTCATTACCAACGTTCACTATACTACCATGTGTCCTACCAAACGCCAACCATGTCATGCCTGTCATAAAGAGAATGATCTCAAGAAACTCATAAAGCTTAGCTACGCTACTTCTTCTTTGCCTCTCCAGCCCAGACACGGGCCTCTTTAGCACTGTCATGGGCAGCGCGAAACACTGTACCACTGTCCATCAGCCTTCTACTAGCTGAGAACATGGCAAAAGGTGCCTGGAAAAGAGGTATTTTGGAGACTTAGTCGCTACTTACATTGGCGTTCAGTTTCGTCCAAGCCACGCAAAAATTCAACTCCACCTCCCAGCGCCCCGGTTGGGTTGTGGGCATGATCCGCAATTTGCATCGCGCGCTTTTTGAAAGTCTACAAAATGAGTAGTCAACAAACGAGGGGAAAGGGGAAAGGGGAAAGGGGAAAGGGGAAAGAAGAGATGGACTCGTTAAAGGCTCCGCGGCGGGGACGAAGAAGCAGTCCGGGGTGCGTACATCACTAAGAATCTCTACCATTTCTTCTTCCTCGAAGAGTTGTAGTATCTTCACGCCCAGTCTGTAAAAATGTGACGCTAAAGATCGAAGGTCCACCGTCCGCGGATCAGCCTTAAGCGCATTCATCACCGGCTCCGACAGTGCTTGGGGGATATCCAGATTGACCAGCGGATTAGAGCCAGCCTTGGCTCTGTACCAAAAAAAAAAAAAAAAAAAAAAGATCTCAGCATCAACTCACGATCGAGACAGGAAAATGGAAGCTGAGGGAAGCGTACCCCACCGCAAGCATTACTCCCAGCCATAGGGGCACATCTAACCGTGATCCGGCCTTGATCTACAAACTCCGAGAGTCAAATTCCCTGACTTTGACATTGGGGCAATATCATTAGGCATGGCAAAACGCACGTCTTCGCCGACGTTCCCATCGAGAAAACCCAGCCCTGGTACCTCTAGTTCGAAAGTGCAGGGCAGTTTCTTGGAAAGCATCAGCGATTAGCCTCCTGCACCATTGATCCAGGGTAACTGACTTACTTGTGCATCAGTTAGAATTTCATCAATGTCGTAATATGCCATCTTGAGGAATTAAACGCCCTTCCCATGCCATCCAACGGCCTTCCAGAAATATGTGTATATAACTGACACTGCGCTGGCGCGCCAAGAGAAGAAACGCGATATCACGTGCCTAACCAACGCGATAAGTCACGACCGCGTTCGTTGTTTCTTGTGATGTCGATTGTACCCTACAGCTCCCGCTACAACGTAGCGGTGATAATGGGAGAACTGTCCCCGAGGTCCGACCGTCCGAGTGAAGTGGCATTCCGAGAACCCATCCACTCTGGACTCGATAGTTAGAGTAGCCTGCAAATCTCAGACTTTCCTGTGTCACGACTGAAGACCCGGGGCTTGTCTCTTATTGCCTGCTTCACAGATAGTGCTACCTAACGTATGACCTTCGCCATATCATGTACAGATGCCTTACAGTTTATCAATTTTAAAACTCAATGCTCCAACTTTGGGGGTTCCAACTGCTCGCTTTTCGCCTGCTAATTGATTGAGGTTGTTGGTCCGTGAATATGGTAGCGATGGAAAGAAGCCATCTCTTGTATGGCTATATACACATGTATGGGAGTAGTCGATGCTTTTTTTTACGGTAGATGACTGGTATGGACGAGAAAGCCGGGGGAAGACATCAGCGTTTTTCAGGTCCATTCTTACTTTCCCCAGGAAGGCTTAAATATTAAGCATCGCAGTTTTGGCTTTCAGGAACCGAGTTAATCCTCCGTCATTCATAAGTCGGCCTGAGTGCCCGTCAGACTCCTCCATTTATTTAGGAATCACTGACTCAAAGAACACGAGAGATGGTGCAAAGAAATCATTAAGCAACCCTGGGCACTTTGGGATATACGGCGTTCTCTAATCAAGATAGTTATACCATGAAAAAGGTTTCTTCCTTTCGGCCACCAAACGCAACAAGAGCATCCATATGCATGACGAGCTAGAACATGCTAGCCTTAAAAAGGGGACGCAACTTATCCGGGGATTGAGGCCAGAATATTTTCTTCTATCTCCGCCTTCAGTTAAGTTTAACTATCTACGCCTCTCCCGAGGGAACGTCGATCAATCATCAAAGGAGTGTGGATCGCATTATTGCGTCACCAATTACGGAGAGCCACAGGGTTGACAGTGAGGATTGTCAATAGAATGCAATGCCTTCTCCCGGTGGTTCTCAAAAGCAAGTTGCAGATCGTTGGGCTATGGAGTTAAATATATCGTTTCCCGTCGTTAACCAGGTTCCTAGCCAGGAAATTTCTTTTTAATTGCACAAAGAATGAATATGTGGCTCCGATAAGACAATAAAAATGCACGCTCAATACCGGACTTCCTGCCCAGCGGGAAGTTGGTTCAGGATACTCAAAAAAAAAAAAAAAAAAAAAAAAAAAAAAAAATTGAACTCCGGAACAGGGAGTCGAACCCTGGTCTCCCGCGCTTGTTATACAAAGTGACAAGCGGAAATCATGACCGTTAGACCATTCCGGATTATTAATGCGGGATATGGAAAATGGGGAAAACTGGTGGATTGTGGGTTAAGACGGGTTGCTGGCCAACATGGGATAGGAGGTTGAAGTGGCGTCAGATATCATCGGGAATTGCAGATAGCTAGTGCAGTCGTGCCTGAGTCGTAGGGCGGAGAAGGATTGCAACTTTGCAGGGACCTTTCTTTGTCGAGGAATAAAACTTGGAAAGGCGCTAACCATCAATTTTGGTATTTGTGGCACAAAGAGGGGTCTGCGAAGGGACGGAGAACTTGGGAGACAAAAAAAAAAAAAAAAAAAGAAAAGAAAAGAAAAGAAAAGAAAGAAAGAAAATGGGTACATATGTAAAAAGGGCGGGAAAAAAAAAAGTTATCTCCGCGACGGGGAGTCGAACCCCGGTCTCCCGCGCTTGTTATCGAACAATGACAAGCGGAAATCATGACCGTTAGACCATCACGGATTGGTGGATGACTGCTTCAGTCAGCAAGAAGAAACCTAGCATTTTCACTTCCCGGGCAGCAGGCTCATGTTTCACAGGAATCTGGTATCTGGCTGTTGTCTTCCATCTACCAACAATTGCATGAGTGCCAGGGGGTGGTTTTCTGCATCGACAATAAAATCTTCCTTACGGCCGACATATTGAATCATACTATCCCTTCTCCTCGAATTTTAGGTAGGGCCGTGAGATCTCGTGACCACCGCCGGTCGTGGGCTGTTCCAGCTCTCATCACATTCACCTTGAAACCGCATCGATAGCTTGATGCCGTTTGTCGGATACATCCTACCTCCTTGACAACATGGCCTACAATGCCATCTCCCAGAACGACCATGACGCCGCTTCGAATGTCTCGGATTCTGATGCGTCCGATTCCCCTCCCCTTCCGAAGGCGTCCTTCGAGCCTCTCTCCCTCGACTTCGAGAACCTCGGAGGTTCTACGCTCATGAGAACGGCTTCAACCGAGAAAGCCCCCTCTATATCGCTGAAATCGGTAATCCGTTCCCGCGGGGCATCGACTACCAGCTATGGTATGTTGGAGGATGACGACTATCACGCTGCTGATCAAGGCCCTAAATCGAAGCGCGATTGTCATGTGAAAGAGATGCAAGCCGAAAGATCCGCGGACGCATCTCGAGCGACCCCTTTAAAAACGGCTTTCTCCTCCCCTCAGTCCCCAGAGCTTATACTACAGAGTCCCGCTACGGACGGTCCGGACCTATGCCATCCAACGCCAGATCTTCAGTCACTGCAAGGCGCCTATGTCGGAAACGTCGAACGGCTCGAGAAGACTGCTGAACGTCTCAGTTTAGCATTGGATAGTGGTGACAATATCGCGAACTTGGAAGATGAGCAAGGTGTACGGACTCTGGGATCTCCGATAGGTTCAATCAGGTCACGAAAGCAGTCTGTCGGGTCGTGCACGGGACCTATAGATACCAGATCTGGCGTTTACTCCCCCCGGCGACAGTCTTCATCCCCTAGGCGGTCGATACAATCCCCTCCATCTTCTCAAGCCTCTGCTCGTTTACGATCTGGCTCTGTTGCATCCCGCTTAGCCAAAGTGATCGAGCCTGAAAACGAAGACCGGCACAACGTCTCGGAACAGGAATTTTCCATCCCATCTACGATCCCTCCCACATTGAATCCTCCTTCTATACATTTACCCCAGGAGCCTCCACAATACCACGAACCAACCATGGGGGCTCCCGTCTACGACGGACAGCCAATAGACCGCCCTGGGACTGCAGGTTCTACAGACACCTACCGGCAGGCCACCAACTTGTTCAAGGACTTCGATGGCGTACATTTCACAGCCTATTCGAGTGAGCAGTCGAGCTCTCGACGACTGTCCTTAAGCCAACCTCCGCTTGCGAGTCTACCGCAGGCCCACAAGGAGCCAACGCCTGGTGAAAACATGGTTTATTACCCTGCTCCGGTGCCGATGGTATTAAATTTACCCCAGCGGCTATCCAAGAAGCCCGCTACGTCTGAGCAGGAGAAACGTCGGACCCAGTTAATCAACTCGATGCCCGCAGACAAACGGAAATCTGCAGCGTGGTTGCCCATGGGTGAGAACCAAAGCGATGCCCCTTTGAGGCAGAACAAGAGAATTTCTCAGATACCGCCCCAACTCCGTGCCAGCGCCTTTTTTGAGCAGCCACCGACACATCTGGACATCACAGTGAAGGAGAATTCAGCCGTCGCTACTTTAGATAGTATCCTCGATGCTGCGGCACTGGCGCCTGTTAGCGCCTTTACGGATCATCCTATTGTGGGTCACATTGGAGCCGGAGTATATGGGAAGGAGAAAATAAAGAAACGAAACAAGACTGAGAAACATAAGCCTCTATCGGTAATCCCGCTTGACGTGGGAGAACCAACTCACAGTCGTAACCCCTCCGGGCAAAGCGCTGGCCAAATAGAGGGCAACAATGGGGCAGATGAATCCACTCCTTTTAGAACTTCGTATGACCGTGAGCGTGACGGAGAGGGCTCTGATCGGTATGATGATCCGCAAGATCCACAATCCGATGGTTCTGAGAGCGACGATAGCGAAGGCAAGGAAGAAGCCTTTATCGGTCCACCGACGACGTTACTGGCTGAACTACAGATGCGAAAACAAGAGCAAAAGCAACGAAGTCGTACGGCTGCGACTGCGTTCCCAAACGGTATGCATTCAACGTTGCTCGAGCTAGATGCTGTCGCACAGCGTCAGCGCGAGAATAGGAACCAGCGACATGTCACTCTGGCCTGGGAGGATCCTGGGCTAGCGGAATGTCGGGAGCCTGACGACGACGACGTACCACTTGCACTACTATTCCCCGAAAAGTCCAGACAGGCTGACGAGAATCGACCGTTGGGCCTCATGGAAAAGCTACAACTAGAGGAAAATGAGCCGCTCAGTCATCGGCGTGCTCGAATGCGAGGAGAGCCGCCCCCTGTTCCACGTCCGCGCCCCACTGGGACTCCTCAGCCTCCCGCCAACAGAGCGAGCACAGCGTTTACACTTGATATCCCTGGACTAGAAGATAACGAGAGCGATGAAGAAGAGACCTTGGCCCAGCGCGTCAGAAGGTTGAAGGCTCGGGAAGAGAAGACGGCAAGTTCGGACTTTGCAAGCGAACTACTGTCGAAATTCGGGGACGAGAAACCTCCTGAAAAGCCGCCAAGTGAAGATGGGGAACCTGAGGAAGAAACTCTTGCTCAACGACGGAATCGTCTTCAAGCAGAGGCCGAGGCGGGCAATTCTAATGGTCACGCTAATAAAATCTCTAGTCGACGGAGTATGGCTAATATTCTCCAAGCGCACCCAGTCGGGATGCAGCCACCGAATGAGGTATATTCCTCAGGCAGTGGAGCTGCGGCAAGTCGACAATCATTGCTCGCCGCTAACCGCATGTCCAAAATCTCCTTGAAAGGCCCGCTTCTCTCATTTGGCAATGAACTGGACAGTGGAACAACGCCGTATAACAGCCATGGTCTCATTGCACCTGCCTACGGGAACGGGCTACCAGCGGTGAACTTAAACCCACACTACTACGCACAGACGACTTATCGTCCGGGGATTCGAGCCGAGCCGGCAACCTTGATTGACCAGAAGCAGAGAGATATGATTGATCGATGGAGACTTGGAGTTCAGTGATCTCACAGATCGTAATATTTCCCTCCTGATTGCGCATGAGAGTAACCTGTGAGCGCGGCTTTGATGGTTCTTTTCCCATACGATTCTCAGCGATATTTTGGATTTTTGGTTTCAATTATTCTTGCCAGCACAACTTACTGGGGCTTTCCCTCCTTTTTTTTTTTTTTTTTTTTTATTATTTATTTATTTATTTTTTAATATTTTTCCACTCCGCAAATGTGTTTATTGTGTATTACTTTTTTAATACCCTGTTGTCAAGCATAATCGTCTGCATAGCCCCCTGGAGTTGGAACCGGCATTTTCCATGTTGATATGGGCTAATAAGCATCTGGCTCAGCCTTGGTATCGAATAGTTCTCCGTACATGAGCGTGTGATAGATTTAGTTACATAAATATTCCATTTTGCCATCAAGCCTGACGCAAGAAAAGGGACCCGCGCCTTTGTTGCTTTGTAGAAATCTAACCCTGGAACCCGTGGGATTGGTACAGTAAGGTTCGAAACCGCCTTCCAGGTCTTGCAAGCCAGATTTGTTTCCAACCCCTAATGCCAAGTCTCTAACGTTTTAAGCTAAACCATATTTGGATCCATCTGCGTATCTTGTGTAATATACTTTGTAATGACTAAGTATCAATATTACACGATATCTCGAAACTTGTACTGAAAATACATGGGTGCTGGAAGCTTCTTTGCAAACCAGACAAACTTAGAACAACTCATCTGACGAGCCTTATTAAACATGTTGATGATGGCGGGAAACTAGAAACTCACGAAGATGTCCCTGGCGATATCCGAGAAGCATTATACATGGAGGCTCAAAAAAGACTTGAAAAGGGGTCAGGCAAAGCTAATAACATCCCAATTGGAACTCCATATCCTCCAATTAACATTAATGTCCTGCCAGGGCATAGCACTCATGGCTCTGTCATGGCCATTTCACCGCCCGAGTTTCTACCCTCCAATGAACGACTTAGGATATCCGGCCCTCGAGATGAAGCTGTGACGGAATACTGCAAATGGCACGAACAACAAGTGTCTGATGAGACACATAAAGCTGATTGGAGAAAGGCATGTGCTATAACTCTCTCACATGGTCTTGACCTTGAGTTGGTCTATGAAGATCAGGAACATGTAAGATTCCTTGTTGAACAAGGAGTGACAAAGGAAACTGCACGGCGTTTTATTCGAGATATCCATGAATGGGCCACCATGATGAAGAGAATTTTGCCCCGCAAGGGAAGTGTTGAGGAGAATTTTGATGGTGTGGCCAATTAAGTTCCTGTGCAGTCTCCTTCAAGTCCAATTTTATATAAACCGGTTAGCCTAATTTGCAATCAGCTATGCTTTGAACCATGCTGGTCATATGAATGAAGGTGTAACTTACAAGTTAATAATGGACCCTGGTATTCAAGATCTGGAACTTTGTTGGGCAGAGATCTCCAGAGAATTATACGCACTTGAAAAGAACATGGGTCGAATAGCTGAAAGCCTTAGCGGGGGTAAGGAAAAATGGGAAACTCATCCACTCGAACAAAATGGACGTGGTCCGCAAATATTATATTGTAGTTAAGTTAAGTTGGAATAAACCGGTCGCGTCATTTCCGACTGTGACAACATCTTGCATCAGACCCATCTGAGCTCCCACAGCCTAGCTTAAGCCTCCGAGAATTGCTTTCTTCGGTTGATCAACTGCCTTAATTAGCTAAAGGTCAAGCGAAAGCTAAGATTTAGATCGCTTACCAGCTTTTGTTGCTTCCAGTTAACACTGGTACTAATTGACCTGGGCAGGTAAACAAGCCCCCTCGGCGCTGACTTGAAACCATGTTTGTCTTTCATCTCCTTGAGGGTTATCAGCCGTTTGAGCTCGTAGACAGTGACCATCTCGTACGCGAAGTCATAACCATCCCAGTCCTTGTGTTTACTGTCGAATTCGGCATTACCCAGGCCGTCTTTGTCCAGAGGAAGATCGCCGGGTTTTCGAGTTCGAGCGGGCTTAGTTTCGCAGACATGGGTGATGCTGGAGTGCGGAGCAGTCCGATAGAACCAGATTCTTTTCACACTAGGCTTGAGGCAATATTTCCTGAACTCATAATTCTTCCTTCCGTCAGTAATCTGGGTCATGTAGGGGTCTTGCATGGGTAAAATAACATCGCTGGTGGCGCGTTCGCCCGGAGCCTTTTTCATGTGTGACATCAAGAAGCCATAACGGTGTCTACATCAAATGTAGATATGCAGTTATGAGGAAAGATGAAAGTTGAAGACTGGGAAACTAAGTAGGTAAGGCTAGCATGAAAGATGGAGGGGGAGGAAGCACGGAATACAGTAGATCCCCGCTATAGCGATTTAAATTTGGAAGCTTGTTCGATTCGTTATATAGGGGAATTCGCTATATAGGGGTGCGCGTTGAAAATAGGCACGAATATCTTGCTGCTGCTGAGTTTGAAGCCTTCTTGCTGCTATTTTGCTCTCGTAGCTGTTGAGCTGCCAAATTAGCTGTTGATCTCCCTGATCTTGCTGCTCTTCGTACAGCCGGAGCCGTTTAACTAGATCTAGAGCCTCCGAAGGCGTAATCGGTGGGACTGAAATCGGTGAAGCCAACCATTGCTGAATGCTGGCATCTCACAGTCTTTGTAGACTGTGTTACGCTACGCCTTCCGTCTGAAGTATTTGTATTAGTCAGCCCGTTGTAGCTATAGCTTAGCTGAGATCCAAGATCTCATCTGAATATCATCATCTTCGAGAAGCATAACAGACTGACAGATTCTTCCAAAAGAACTCTGCTTTATGCCGAATCATCTCTCCTGAGATAGGGATGTGGTTCTCCGCCTGTTGAATCCACATGTAAAGAGCTGTTTCAAGCTCAGGCCAGTGCTCGCAACAGTAGCACTTCTGCTCTGAGCGGCAGGCAGTCTGTTCAAGATAATCATAACATGACGATAGAATCTCGGAGACAGAGGATAGAGCAATGGTTTGATTATAGTGTTGCTCAAACCACTGCTTCAAAGCCTTGTTGCTGAGGCTTGAATACTGCAGCTTGTGAGCCCGGAGGGCCTTCTTTCACTCAATTAGAATAGCGGTTCGGCGCGGCATTGGGTCTCGTTATAACGAATTGCCTATAAAATATTCAAAATAGTTAGCGAATTTCAGTTTATCGGGGATTAACGAATTTTGTAGGGAGATTCAAATTTGGGAAGAGATTTCGTCCGTTATATAGGGGAATTCGTTGTATGGGGGTTCGCTATAGCGGGGATCTACTGTACTTCGCGACGCGCTTGTTGTGGAGTCACGCGCTTGCAGTGGAGTCACGCGTACCGCGTATCGGGCCGAACCGAGCTAACCTGTAAACTAGAGAACTGATTCGTCAACTAACCGCACGAGCACTTGCCAAGACCAACTTGATGGAGTTCCACAGCCTTGTGTTGTTTCCTGCAAGCCTGATCTCTCACACCATCATTGCATTCTTTAGTGTCGAATAAGATATGATAACTGTGCGACTCATCTGTCCAGCTATCAGGTTAGAGATTTGTCATTGCTCGGCTCCAGCTTCTCTTTCCAATATGCATGTACAGTATTATTTTTGGGAACCCCCTCATAAATTTAAAACCCCCGCCCCGAATCTCCCTCGTTTTTGTTCTCGTCGACTTCAGGAAATTTAAGTACCAAGTTATCATGTCCATTCTAATCGCCATGGCAGACCAACAGAAATTGCAAATCACCTATGATACGACCTCCCATCACGCTTTGGGTGGTGGTTCCTACATATTCAAAAGCAATTATTCTGGTTATCTGCGGTCGTTACTCCCTCATCCCGAAGCCCGCACAGAAATTAACATTATCATTCAACCCAATTCTTCGCCTCATCCCGGAACATTGTGTAGCCTGGGACTGGCGTTTGTTTTGGCTAGGAGAATGAAAGATATAGGAACTGATGTTACGGTGGTGTGCGACCTGTGGGACAGAGCAAAAGGGGAGCAAATAGTTATCTCACAACATTACCTACCAACGAAGTCTTCGGGATACCGGGAAGTTCCAAGAGTTCCTTCCGGATTATACAGAACTCCTTGCGATACTTTCGAATAGATATGGAATTACCCATCGAATTCGCCTAGAGGAAGAGTTTCTGAAGAGCGACGGGGTCGGTGGTATTATTCGGGAAATTATCAACGATCGTGATGGCCTCATCAGATGCCTAGCACCAGCTACTGGGAGGCTCGCCATCCGCGCCGCATGCCCTGAATGTGGACTCGTCGACAAATACGGCATGAACAATATCTATTCCCAGGGTGGATCGACCGTCTCTTTTGAATGCCCACGGCATGGACGATTCAATTACAACGTGGATTCCGACTCCCACAGATTCCAGTTTAATTGCCAGCTTTTCAATCTAGTAATTGGTCGTTATTACGAGCGCGCGTCATACAACTACATCGAGGTCTGTGGTAGCGACTACGCTGGCTTCTGGCAAGAGCAGCTGTTATGGCGCTTTCTGGTCAAGCCCATCTTGATTGTCTATACCCCTCTCATTTCAGATTGGTCAGGTTCGAAGGTATCAAAATCCCTATATCTACAGCAGACAGCATACGACTACCTGAAAAAGGCGGGACAGGAGTACCTGCTCAGCTATCAGGTCTTTAGACAGGAGAAAAGAGATTTTACCGTTCTTCTGCGGGAGATTGAGTGCTGGGTCGATGAACCATATAGGCTCTTCCGGGGCTAGAGCCTACATTATCTTCACCTCCTCTTTGAGAAGAGGGAGTTATCGCTAGGAATCATCCACAAACCGACTTCTGAGCCAGAAACAGAGTAATGAGATGATGCTCTTGTACTGAGATGGTACACAGATTGTATTATGGAGTGCATCTGATGTGGCCAAAGGCAAATTGACGATTTATCTCTTTACTAGTTTTGGACTAGAAGATCTATTAGATACTCTACACAATCTATTCCCCCAATGAGTTTCTTGCCTGCAATGCATTAAAGTAAATGTGAAGGCTCTTCCGACTCATATCTCTCCATTATGCTCTTCGATTGTTAGACCAGCATGTCAAAAGTGACCATCGGCACTCTCTTTCCTCTCACCAACCACATCAACACACCTTTGAAGGAAGGTATCAAAACCTTGATCAGGAAACATCTCATACGAATGCCAGTTTTGCTTAATGTAACTCTTCAGCTCTGCAAAGAACTCCTTGATGGGATTCAAGTCTGGTGAATATGGTGGCAGGTACAACACTTTCACTCCTGCTTCAGAGCACATCTCCATAATCTTGTCAGAGTGATGGAAAGACGCGTTGTCCATAACAAGCACAGACTTTGGGTCTGGCCACCTCCCACAATGCTGGAGAAGCTGCTTGATGAAATCTTCAAAAACAGCAGCATCAGTTGAGCCAGTAAATACATGAGAAAGAATGATACCATCTTGAGTATAGGCAGGCAAAATTTGATAATGTTGATCCTGATGGAACCTTGTTACTTGAACTGGTGTCACTCCAACTGGAGACCAACCTGTCCATCTAAATCCTATCTGTTTGTCACACCCAGACTCATCAACATAAACCAGGTGATATGAACAGAAATCAGATAGTTTGTGAAGGTAGAAATCTCATAAATCTGGGTTCTGCTCTTTTGCTCTTTGTTGGCATTTCTTTTTGGTCCAGCCTTCAGAGGAAAGAGTCCTTTTAATACTGGAAAGTGATATTGAAACATTGAATTTATCATACAAAAAAACTGCCATCTCTTCAAGATATAGGCCAGGCTTTTCAGTGAGATGATCACAAAGAGCTTCAAGCATAGATGGAGTCATGCTTTGTGGATGACCTCCACAATTTGGGGGTGGCCTTTTGCTGCCAAACAACTGTAGGTTCATGCGAATATTTGTGACTGAATGCTCACTGCATTCAGCAGCATCAGCAATCTGAGCAGTAGTAAATTTTTTGCTGCATATCATACAACTGATTAATTTCCGCTTCCAATCTTCAAGATTTCGCGCCATTTGGTGCGGATAGTGGTTAATTGTGCCAAGCGCATTCCTGTGTAAGTTGGGGATGTTGCCTTTGGGGGATCGAGGTAGTACATATTTTTGATACAATACCGAACCATGGCATTTTGTCTATGTTCGGTTCAGGATTGTACTTGTTCAAGTTTCTAAATATATCTGGAATGGATGCTAATTATATTAGGGATAGTGCATTCATTAGCACCTTGGCGTTAGGGTTTGGAAACTTAGTCTGGCTTGTGTGAGATGGAAGGCGGTTTCGAACCTTACTGTACGGAGTATGATTGATCATTTAGTTAGTTTTCGACGAACGGGGAAAAAATAAATAAAAAAAATAAAGCCGCCCTGGAAACTCAGATGAAACTACGGAGTATTAAAGGTTCCGACGGGTGGCGGCAGAGGTTGAATGAATCTTAGCGGCGGCGGTTTTAAGCTCTAGGATCGAAGGCGAATCCTTGTCTGTTTGGTTTGCAAAAAAAACAACAGGGAAATTGAACTGGGGTCCTGTTCAGGGTAGCACACAGAAAACTGACTAGTCAACTAAACTTTTTTGGATATTCTCATGCAGAAGCCTATCAGTGCCTATCACACAATATCCTGGCTTCGGCTCCCTTTCTTCTATCCCCCAAGAGATGGCAAAGGTATATGCTTGCTATGAATTACGGTCAATTGCAGCCAAGCGAAGCACCAACAAACGGCTTGGGATCTCGCGGGGTAAGGCTCTGCTAACTGACAGGGTATAGACTGCCCAGGCGTCCGGGCGGTCTTCGGGCGTCATCGATCCTTGAGCGGAGAGCAATTGCCCTGAAGGCGTCTTTGGCCTTTTTTGCTCTCTAAGGACCATGCCGTCGTCTACGGTTTTTTCCTATTTGCGTCGTGATCACCGCCGCCCGAGCCCGTCTCCAGCTACAGCTTCGCCCGCATCCCATGCTTCTCCCCAACTCCCCGCCACGGCCACCACGGCAGACTCGATTTTCGGAACGGGCCCCTGCGCAGGACAGAAAACGGATACCCATGCAGCCAAACCTACAGAGCCGACTAAAGGCATCGCCCTTAAACCCGTGAGCAGTACTCCCTCTCTGCGGCCCGTGAAGCCCATCGCCAGACCTCATTCTAGTTCCGGGGAGAGCGTGGGCCCGCTGTCGAGCTTGACAAACACTCAGAAGCCGAATCACCTTGAAATTGGACTGCAGAAGGGGATATCGTCATGGAAAAGAAGTTTCGGTGGGCAGAAGGCCGCTGCGGGTCCTGGCGTCTCGACCGGCGGGGCTGGCAAGGGAAAAGCACCAGATCCCGCTGCTGGAGCTCCAAGCCTGCAGATTCGAGATGCTAAGCCGGAAAGCTCACTGCCTCGGCGAGACGGTGGCTATGACTCTATGCCTGAACAACCGTCGTCCCGAGGCGGGAGAATGAGATTGCACCTTCTTAATCCCATGACGCTTCTAGCTCGTCGACGATCAGCGCAGTTAGGCACACGCGCTGAGGATATAAATATTGGAAAGCTAACGCTTCCAGCGTTGCCCGATGACTATGATCCAAGGATCCGTGGGAAGCTCTTCCACGATTTTTCCACTCCCCGAGGCCGACCAAATCATACTTTCAGCCACGCCCAGGCAGCATATTCGTGGGACAGCAGAGTATCGTCGGGCCATGGGGAAGAAGGCTATTTCTCAGATTCCTCTGCGCGGGCTTCACGCAGGAGTCGACAGCCGGAGCACAAACCCGTGTTCAAAGAAAACTTCGACGATGAGGATCCAGACACCAGAGATATCCAGGAGCGCCCCTCAGAAACAGAAAACCAGTCGTACTCAGTTCCTGTATTTGCTCGTGATCTTCCCTTATCTTTGCCGCCGCAACCTGAGCCTGAGCTGTCCCCAGAAGCGCCATCACCGCCATCCACAACTGCACAGGACGAGACACCACCTTCATTACGATCGCGACCGTCAACTGTTCGCGATCCATCGTCACAGGCACCCTCGGGACTGCCTAAACATTTGACGAGCAGTGCATCGAGATTTAGCTTTGATATACCGGGAGGAGACTCTGCTTCCCAAGAAAGGCTTCTTGAAGAGAAACACAAAGAAAAGGAAGCTGCGAGGAAGGCTAAAGAACAAAGCAATCCCGCTGCTGATTTTGAATCGGAAGAGTTTGACTACGATGCGATGATGGACGCCGACGGGCTAGAAGAAATGATCCCTGGAGTCAATGCAGATGCGGATGAGTACGAAGGCGAGGATGTTGATTTTAATGCTGTGAAACCATTGAAGCCACTCGCTACGCCCTCTACATTGCTGCTGAGCCCCGTCAGCTCGGAAGGAGCGCCTTCTTCACAGGTTTCACAGCTCCAAGACGCCTTCTCGATGCACGGGGTGGTTCCTCCGAATGCTGACACAACCCCGATGCCTACTACTGTTCCATCTCTGACTATAGATACCAACCAGGCGCTTTTGGCTCACGCTCCGCAAGTTCTCCAGGCCGATAAAAACTTCGACCCGCCCTACACCATGGGCCATGATGACGACTTATACTACGACGATGGGCTGTTTGGCGATCTCCCTGAGGAAATGCAAAGTGGGAACTTTGACGAATCTATTTTCGACGACGAGGCCAGCCATCTATATGCACGGAAAAGTAGTAGGGACAATGCTCTACCTTCAATGCTCGAGAAGCAGCCGAGTTCGAGCAAGCACGGAACCGACCGTCAGAAGCCCCTGCCTCCAGCGAAGGATGTGAACGAGAATTTCGGAGACAAGTCTGGTCCACTATCGGACAAATCATCGTCAGAGGGGCTGCAAGAGTCTGCTCCAGTATTGACACATGGGAATCTCCAAGCATATCATGATGCTCTTGCTCAGGCCGCGAACGAAGCCGTTCGCAGGGGAAGGTTCCAGAGGAGCCCCGGTGGAAGCGAGGCATCTGGTGACCACGATGGAACCGAAGAGTCGCACCCCGAGCTGACGGCCGATGAAAGTCGTCACACGAGCGAAAACGTGGAAATGATGGCAGTGGATGGGGTATTCGATGAGTTTGACTTTTATGATGCTGACGATATTGACGACGACCCCATGATCGCTGCTGCTAACGCAGAAGCGCTTGAAAATGACGATGAGGGGTTCTACGGGCAGGAGTTTGGCTTCTATGCGCATTCCCACCCTCATTGCGAGAGCGAGCGTACGTTTGGTGGCTATTTCGGCACGATGGGGCTTGAAGGAATTAAGAGGAAGCATAGCGCCAGAGCTAATTTCCAAGAACCCAGCCTTACCCCCATCACGGAACGCAGTGAATGGAGCACTAGGAACTCTATCGTTTCGTTGGCCCCGCACGCTGGTCATCACTCTAACCCGTCCAACCCATCTCTGTCCAGCCCTCCACTGTCACAGCTCCTTGATATGGGACATTTAGATGACGAGCTATCCCTAAGCGCCTTGATGAAGCTCCGACGCGGAGCCTTTGGCGGCAGCAATGGAAGCCTGCGTAGCAATGCGACCAGCCAGGCGGGCCAATCTCCCCAACCCGCTTCGGCTCCAGCCGGTTCTAACTTTGGAAGTTTTCCCAATCTCCACAACATCTTACCTGATCAAAAGCGTGCGAGTACCGTGATGAATTCCCCTATGGGATTGAGCTCGCCACCTTTGGTGGAGAACGGTGAGTTGGCTCCTGCTGATTTGTCTCTCCGGAACGACGTCCCTCTCAGGCTCAGATCGTCCGAACGACCGCACTCAATGAACCTGGACTTGCTAGCAACCGGCAAGGCCAGGTCTCCGGAGGTGATTCGAAGACATCTCCGAAGTAATAGTGCAACGGAGAGCATTAGCTATGTGAAGGAGACCGATGGATTGGGGGCCAATCGGTGGGTGTTGGAGCGAAGGCGTACGGGAGCTGACGGTGAGGGCGAGGTCGTAGAAAGAGAAGTCATGAGCTCTGGCCATATATGATCCAGATCAAGGGCTGGTTCCTCTGATACCTTTTTGCTGCATGCCATTTATTATTATGTTGACTCATTTATCTAATTGGTCATTGTTCTACGAGCATCTTCTTTTCTTTATTCCTGTTCCCCACGTGCATTCTTGCGCACTATGGGTTGAACTCTCCTCTACATATATTTTTCCTACTCGAGCGTTTCCCATCTTTGGTCATGTTTCTTACTTCTGAGGAATCACTCCTTGCAGCGCAGATGAGTAGCTGTTTGATTCTTGGATCCTATTTTCTATTTCTTTTTTTCCCTTTCTCGCCTTTTTCTTTCTTACTGTTCTTTTTCCCCTTTCATTCACTGAGATCTATCGATACCCCAGTCTCTGGCAGACCAATGGTGGGAGTGCCGTCATCTCCGTCGCCAAGTTGCATTGGAGAGCCACCTCACCAGTTTCTATTGTTCTTTGCTTTTTCTTTTTCTTTTTCTTTTTCTTTTTTTTTTTTTTTTTTCCCCATGTTCCGATTCTGAAAAGTCGAAGATCGCAGGATATTGGGCAGCTCCGGGAATGCGGAGCCCGATGATGACGATTCCATGCTGTTCTCGCTTCCGCGGCCCGATTCCGCATTGTTCACCTTAAGAAAGTTTCTTGTGTTTTAATATTTTTTGATTTTTTTTTTTTTTTTTTTTTTTTTTTTGGGCGGGTTGAGAGCAGGAAACTCCTCCCAGATTGGCGATGATCATGTTTGTTGTTTGCAAGTGGCAGATGAGAGTGAGAATGTCATAAGAACAGTGAAGACGCAAGAAGGAAAACCAGCAAACGTCTTGATCGAACGTGCGTTTTCCATCACAAGCATCGTCGCGTGGACTTCCATTCGTGATGTGTCAGCCGCCAGTGGGCGATGCGGCATTTAAGTCACGGGGTTGCAGCCAATTCCAGCCGGCTGCACATGCTGCACCGCCACCTTGGCAATTCCCGCGTCTGGCCAACCAGCAGCGGCTATTTTGGGCTTAGTCAGCAGTTCCGGCCAAAAAGATGATGCGCATTATGTAATGGATTCCCAACAAAATCGACGTCATCGGATGCCTTTTGCTGTCAAATTTCAGAGGCATTACAAGGACTGTTTCTGGACCAGCAGCCGCACTAAACCCATTGCGGCTAGATCAACTTGGCGTTCTGCTGGCGAACTGCGGTTTTAGGCTCGGCGCTAGGCTGTAAGAGGCTAGATCTCCCATGTGGTGCCTGTGCCGTGTTGTCACGGATTGGTATCAGTCCACGGCGCCCGCGATGGGTTCCCGCCACAGACCGGGGATCGGCAGCAATGAACTCAAAGGAGGGAAGAAGTCAATGCCATGGAATATCGCTCGATTCGACGATTCGACGAAGAGCCTGCGCACTGCCCGTCGCGTCAGCCTTGCTTCGTGGTTCGCAGAGAGATTTTTTTGAAATTTTTTAATTTTTCCTTTTTTTTTTTTTTTTTTTTTTTTTCACTGGATATATATATAGTGGTGCTTGGGCGGTGCCCGGCAACTTGCCTCCAGAGTAACTTTTACCCGGATTAACCTTTTTCAACTTCAGACAGGAGGTTGTTTGATGCGTCCAAGGGCTTGGATTGCGACCTGACACTTGCTCGGTAACCACATTGTCATTTCATCTTAGAATCACTGGCCTGGCTTATTTATTTCCAGTCGTAGAGCTTACTTCTTTTCCTTCTCTTGTCTGCATCCCACTACTTGGTTGTGTAAGCCTGCTTTGCAGTCGGAATACCTGCTCCTCGCGAACCTCTTCCCAGAGCTTTGCCAACTAGCTGTCCACTTTTTCCCCCGTCCTTTAATAAGCTGCAAGGTGTTCCCGGGAAGGGTCCCTCTAGCCTGGTTTTGCGCAGTGCCGAGAAACATCCGCCCTGAAATTTTTCTGGTTCCTTCGTTCCCCCCTATCAAAACTTAACCGTCCAGAACACCTGTCATCCCATCACCGCCTCTCTCTTCCTTTTTCTCTTTTCTCCCTCCCCCATCCCATTCCTTCAGACCAAAAAAAGAATTAAAATTAAAATTATTTGCAAACTGAGTTGGTCCCCTGCGAGTTCACCAGAGGGACTCTCTCATGACTACGAGATCGTGTGAGGCGGAACGACATAGTCGATAATTCCTGCCTCTTGGTTATTATTATCACCAGCAGAAAAGAGGGAGAAAAAAAAAACAAAAAAAAAATTATTCCCTGTCGGTTTTTCAACACATCCTAACCATCCATCCTTTCTTGGACTTCCATTGTTCTCTTTACTTGTTCACCTACTCCTTTGAACCTTTGCCCTCCTATTTCCTTCCCGTCCCCCAAAAAAGTCAAAATGTTGCGAGCTACTAGATCGTCGTCTTCTAAAGTCTCAGAGGTCGCTGGCCTCTTGAGAAAAACACCGTACGTGCGCAATGCGCGATGCATCGCCTCCTCTTCGAAACCCACGTCGCTTTCCGCTCGTGCGAACCTTGGCCTTGCGACACGAAGACCGCTGGCGCTGGTTGCTGCCCAGGAAGCCTGGAAGCAGCGGAGGCAATATGCGATCGCCGCTGAAGAAACGAATAAAGGGGTGGTGAGTGCTTTGACCTATAAATTCTTTCCCCTCCTTCCAATTGCCCATGGAAGTGTGTGATTTCTGCTGGATCGTTTCGTCTTCAACCAATAAAACAATAATGTTGAAATGGGACGGGAGAAGAGTAGATGGCACTGCAGAAATCAAGACTAGTTGAGACGGAAAACACATATTTAGGTGTAGAAGAAGAAACTAACTTGAATGGCGCGCGCTTTATTGCTTTCGCTTTCTGTGATTATAGGATCCCAATGACTCGTTCCTTCAAGGCAACACTGCGGACTATATCGACGAGATGTATCTCGCGTGGAGAAAAGACCCGTCCAGCGTCCACATCTCGTGGCAGACGTACTTCCACAACATCGAAGAGGGAAATATGCCCATCTCCCAGGCCTTCCAGCCTCCCCCGACTCTCGTCCCAACCCCTACCGGCGGAGTTCCCCAGCACATGCCCACCTCCCGCACCGCTGCCGGAGCCGAAGTGTCGAACCACCTAAAAGTCCAGCTCCTCGTCCGTGCATACCAGGCGCGTGGTCACCACAAGGCGAAGATCGATCCGTTGGGCATCCGCGGAGAGGCTGAATCGTTCGGATATTCCAAACCCAAGGAATTGGAACTGGAGCACTATGGATTTACGGAAGCTGATTTGGATCAAGAGTTTGCGCTTGGTCCCGGCATTCTTCCTCGTTTTGAGACAGAGACGAGAAAAAAGATGACCCTCCGCGAGATCATTGGGGCTTGCGAGCGGATTTACTGCGGTTCCTTTGGCATCGAGTATATCCACATTCCAGACCGTGAGCCCTGTGACTGGATCCGTGACCGTGTTGAGATCCCCCAGCCCTACAAGTACTCCGTCGATGAGAAGCGACGCATTTTGGACCGCCTCATCTGGAGTACCTCTTTCGAAGCTTTCCTCGCGACGAAATTCCCCAACGACAAGCGATTCGGTTTGGAGGGTTGTGAAACTCTGGTTCCCGGAATGAAGGCCTTGATTGACCGAAGCGTCGATTATGGCATCAAGGATATTGTAATCGGTATGCCTCATCGTGGCCGTTTGAACGTTTTAAGTAACGTTGTTCGGAAACCCAACGAGTCGATCTTCAGCGAATTCACCGGTACGGCGGAACCGTCCGATGAAGGCTCTGGAGACGTGAAATACCATCTTGGCATGAACTTTGAACGTCCAACACCCTCCGGCAAACGTGTGCAGCTCTCCCTGGTTGCGAACCCTTCCCATCTTGAAGCCGAAGACCCTGTTGTGCTCGGAAAAACCCGCGCAATTCAGCATTACAACAATGATGAGAAGAATTTCAACAGCGCAATGGGTGTGCTGCTTCATGGTGATGCTGCGTTTGCCGCTCAGGGTATTGTGTACGAGACCATGGGCTTCCACTCACTACCTGCCTACTCGACTGGTGGCACGATCCATATCATTGTGAACAACCAAATTGGTTTCACTACTGATCCCCGTTTCGCTCGCTCCACCCCGTATTGTTCCGATATCGCCAAGGCCATTGAAGCGCCCGTCTTCCACGTTAACGCAGACGACGTTGAAGCTGTCAACTTCGTTTGTCAGTTGGCCGCCGACTGGCGTGCTCAGTTCAAGAGCGATGTAGTCATTGATATTGTTTGCTATCGTAAACAGGGTCACAACGAAACTGACCAGCCCGCTTTCACACAGCCGTTGATGTATAAGCGTATTGCAGACCAGACTACCCAATTGGACAAATACGTCAACAAGCTCCTCCAGGAGAATACTTTCACCAAGGAGGACATCGAGGAGCACAAGAAGTGGGTCTGGGGAATGCTCAACGATAGCTTCGACCGCAGCAAGGAGTACCAGCCTACCAGCAGAGAATGGCTGACATCTGCCTGGAACGGATTCAAGTCTCCCAAGGAACTTGCCACCGAAGTCCTTCCTCACCTCCCTACTGGCGTCTCTCGTGATACTCTACGCATGATTGGCGACAAGATCGGCGAAACTCCTCAGGGATTCAGTGTTCACCGTAATCTCAAGCGTATCTTGGCGAACAGAAAGAAGACTGTGGACGAAGGAAACAACATCGACTGGGCCACTGCTGAGGCTCTTGCCTTTGGTACCCTTTGCAACGAGGGCCATCATGTCCGTGTCTCCGGTCAAGATGTTGAGCGTGGTACTTTCTCCCAGCGTCATGCGGTCTTGCACGATCAGCAGAACGAGGCGACGTACACGCCTCTGCAGCACATCTCTGAGAATCAGGGAACATTTGTTATCTCTAACTCCTCCCTGAGTGAGTTTGGCGTGTAAGTATATAGTTTTCCACTCCGTGGGATGGAAGATGTATCTAACGGGGGTTTTGCAGGCTCGGATTCGAATACGGTTACTCCTTGACCTCGCCCAACGCTCTCGTCATGTGGGAGGCTCAGTTCGGTGACTTTGCCAACAATGCTCAGTGTATCATCGATCAGTTTATCGCCTCCGGTGAAGTGAAATGGCTCCAGCGATCCGGCTTGGTCATGTCTTTGCCCCACGGTTACGATGGTCAAGGCCCTGAGCACTCGTCTGGCAGACTGGAGCGTTATCTCCAGCTTTCCAACGAGGATCCTCGTGTCTTCCCATCACCGGATAAGATTGATCGCCAGCACCAGGACTGCAACATGCAGATTGCCTACATGACTACTCCTTCCAACTTGTTCCACATCCTCCGCAGACAGATCAACCGTCAATTCAGAAAACGTAAGCACCCGTTGTTTCTATTCTCTCCTACGTAGAGCCTGGTTGGCTAATTCCTCTTTTTAGCACTCGTGATTTTCTTCTCAAAATCCCTCCTGCGTCACCCACTCTGCCGATCTTCGATCGAAGAATTCACTGGAGACTCGCACTTCCGCTGGATCATCCCTGAGACCGAACACGGCAAGTCTATCGCAGAGCCCGAGAAGATCGAGCGTGTCATCCTCTGTTCAGGTCAAGTCTGGGCCGCTCTTGTCAAACACCGTGATGCCAATGGAATCAAGAACACCGCTATCACTCGCATTGAACAACTCAATCCTTTCCCATGGCAGCAACTCAAGGAAAACCTTGACAGTTACCCCAATGCCAAGGACATCGTCTGGTGTCAGGAGGAACCACTCAACGCAGGTGCTTGGAGTTTCGTCCAGCCTCGCATTGAGACTCTGCTGAACAACACCGAGCATCACAACCGCCGCCACGTCCTCTACGCCGGTCGTAACCCAAGTGCCAGTGTCGCTACCGGATTGAAGGCTAGCCACATCAAAGAAGAGCAGGAATTGTTGCAGGATGCATTTACTGTGCATCAGGATAAATTGAAGGGGCAGTAGATGATTAGAAATGGATGTGTGAATGGGTGATGAAGCATATTTTTTCTTTTCTATTCCTGATGTCTTCTTATCCTTAAACTCAGATTTTGTTTTTTGTGTTTCTTCCTTTTTCCCCTCCCCTTTGGCTGTTTCCCGTGCAGCTGTACAACATGCATACATATTCTTCCTGTGCCCTTTTTGACCGCAGAATAAATTCAAGTTGTGAAACTTAGGGTGGTGTTTGCTTTGTTCTTCCTTTTTTTTTTTTTTTTCCTGCTGCCCTCATCCCTTGATTCCCTTGGTTCATCGCCTTAAACCATGTCTATATTAATCATGACCCTGACCTGGCTTGCCTCTCGTTTTGTTTTCCTTCATGCTTGTTACTCAGTGACGAGTTTCCTTGTAGCATCAGAATCAGCATTGATGGCATCTTTTTTCTGTCACATCATCACCAGAAAAGAAGAATATACTTCTTCTCTGGTGGGAAAAAAAAGAATTGAGTCTTGATATAGACTTTTGTGTTTGCGTTTTACCTTTTTCGGGAAAATGTGAAGCCGGTTGAGCGTGATTAGCTAATGGACATTGATGACCCAAGAACTTTATTTGCTTATATAAGAATGACGTATATTCTGCCACGCCAGGCGTTCTGGCGATTTTGCTGAGCGTCGAAAGGGGCGGGAAAGACGCGATTTCAACGGCTGTACTCCGTAAAGATCTGGAAAATGGCTATTCACATGGAAACAGTGGATTCTCACTTGAAAACTGTCAACTATGAAGAATTCGGCAGCGAAGATCCAATCCCTGTATTTCGTATGGAGGGATATTCTCACGCCATTCACGTCGCCAGAACTAAGCAGTAATTACATAAGCAAGTCCATTTGGTCGCGCCGGGGAAGAACCGAAAGAGAGTCTTCGCTGCTCGCTCTCGATCTCACCCTGACCTGATCCGCTGTGCATCTGCTACTGCTTGATCTCACTGTTTATCGGTCTCACGGGCATTCACAGTCGCTCATCATGCTTGCCACGCTCTAACTATTACTCTTTGCCCTTCTTGCGATCCACCAAGTTTGTCTGATCGGTCGCATCGCCGCATTCCGGCCTTGCTCAATCAAGTCCAACACATTTTGTCCCTGACCTACAGGTTGTGCAAGCGAAAGAATATTGCTCACCATATCTAAATCTCCATTCTTACCCCGTCCCCGAACGGTAACCCTCCCAGAGCTGCCATGGCCACCTCGAACGGCCCCATGGGCACATCCAACGTCCGTTCCTCCACCCTCCGCCAAACCCGCACCAACCCCAGCCGTCAATCTAAAACCGCCGGCCGAACATCCATCCTGAACCACGTCGTCAACCCATTCAACAATCACGCCCACAACCCCAGCCTAGCAGGCGGACCCGGCAACGGCGGAGCTGGATCTTACGCTGGGGGCGGTGGCCAGTACGGCGCTGCGAGCCAGCACCCAGCCGGGCTATATCCTGGAATCCACCACTTCACTGATGCGATCGATGCATTGCCCAGAGAGTTCCGGAGGCATACGTCGTTGCTGAATGAAGTGGATGGGAAGGCGTTTGCGTTGGAAGCACAGCTGCCGAAGTTGTTGCAGGTTGCGGCAGAGTTAATTTCGGAGCCGTTTCCGATTCATGGGTCGGTTGATGCGAAGAGTGCGCAGGGGTTCCAGACTGTAAGTGGATGTTTCTTTTGGGACTTTTTCTTCTCCCTTTTTCTTACAGCCTTTGGGAACTGTACCCTTTTGACTTGCGGATGTCTTTTTCTTTCCTTTTTTCCTTTCTTCTCTTTTGCTAACATCATGTGTGCGTGGCTTGTGAATAGGATGGTCTACAAACGGAATCACCGGAGAGATCGGCTGCGAGGAGGCAGGCTTTTCAGAATATTCGGAACACCCTCACTGACCTATTACCTACCATGGACGAGAAAAATCACGTCGCTCGAAACGCATTCCTCTCTCTTAAGAAAGATGTCAACCGGTTGGAGATGATTTATCCTTATGTTGAAAACGAAATCTCCGAGGAGGCTCGGATTGGAAGCCGCACACACTGGGCATACCTCAATAAACCTACTAAAGCTAGTGGAACAGCTGGATCGGAACGTCCAAGGCGAGAGGCTGCGACAAGAGATCGTGATGCAGACGAAACACACCGCGAATCCAGAAGAGAAGCAGGTGGCAGAAAGCAACGTCGCAATCAGGTTGAACCGGAGGTAGATGAGTCGCGTGCTCGCAAAGGTAACATTCCCGCGAAGAGTCGTGCTGGAGCTGGAGAGGCTTCACAGGTCAATCAGAACGTTGCTGCGTCCGCAGGACCATCGAAGAGGAGGCGTATTGAAAAAGCAGTGCCCACACCAACATCTGCGGCAATGGAACGCTCGGCAAGTGCTGCGACAAACGCGGGTAGATCGGGTGTCAAAGAATCCCCTGTCCCTGAATTCGGCAAAAAGAGATCTCGGGCTCAAAACGTTACCGCTCCGTCGCGGAAAAGGTATGTTCAAGATGTTTTGCCTTTGAAATCCTCCAAATATCACCCTAGGATCAAGGAGGATTTCAATTTTGGTTCTAACGTTTCGCGTGTTTTTGTGTTATCAAGCAGAACAAATACGATCAGCTCGACCGTCGACTCTTCGCTTGCTCCATCTCCTGTTGTTCCTAGTGTTAACCCTGTTGGCAAAACTAGTACTCCTCCCCCAAGCGCCTCCAACCGGCCTCAATCCGCTCGTTTGCAACAAACTGCCGCTGCCGCGAGCAATGGCCGCCAGCGACCTTCATCTGCTACTTCCAACCGGAACCTCAATTCTAGTACGTCTCTTGGACTTGGACCCGCCCATCTGGACCGTTCTTCTAACCCGGCCTCCATTGCAGATAAAGGTATTTTGGACATAAAAGCTCCCGCGCCCAAGGATTCATCATCTGGCCCTAGAGTCGAGCCTAGTTCCCCCGGTGCTGCTGTTTCCTCCAAAACCGGTGTTAATAGTGTCGAGCCGAAAGCTGATTCCATGGTCATTACCAAACCAGGCGAACGAGACACACAGCGCGAAGTTTCCCTTACTATTGCCACAGCTACCACAGCCAAAATGGAACCCCAGGATGCTGTCAATACCCACTCTCCTATCCCACCTAGTGTCACTTCTAAGGGCCGCTCTTCAAAGACTTCTACCCCCGTTGTATCTACGTTTGCGGAGTCGCAACGATCCTCCAGGCCATCTCGAGCCACCGCGGCTGCAGCGGCTGCTGCTGAAGGGTCCAACCCTGCTCCTACTATTAAACGCTCCCACAAGAAAGGAGCGGGTAATACTGGTACTGCAGCTGCTACTGCCAGACAATTGGCGCTGGCGGCTGCCAATGCCGCTGAGGACGAGGACTCTTCTAGACATGGAGATGACGAGGATGATGAAGGGGAGCTGAGGTATTGTTACTGTAACCAAATCAGCTTTGGAGACATGATTGCGTGCGATATGGAGAATTGTCCTAGGGAGTGGTTCCATTTGTCGTGTGTGGGGCTGACAAGGCCGCCGTCAAAGAGTGGTGAGTTTTGGTTTTTTTTCCCCCCCCCTTCGAACCCCCTGAAAGATTCTTAACTGATTGTTGTCTTTAGTCAAGTGGTATTGCAACGAATGCAAGGAGACCATGAAGAAGGGCAAGTCAAATGGCAGATAAGCAGGGATACATCCATCTCCACTCCGAATTCAGTCAACACATTCTCTTTTTCCCCACAGCATTCTGTATATTACCCCCGCAGCGTTCCCGGATATTCCTGCGTTGGTTGTCTCGAGACAGAAATGACTGTATCTGCATTCATTTTTTTTGCTTCCAGGGTGCCTGAGGCGTCCTTTCTTTTCTTTGGGCAATGCATTTTTTGGTTCTGCGAAGGGACACCTAGTCTACCTCCATGCTTATACGAAATTTGTTTTGGCGCTTCATTTTAGAGGTGTCTTACGGGTTCTACGCGCCCAAGAATGGATGGCTAATTACTTATTAATATGGCGATGTTTCCTCTCTCTTTTCTCTCCCGGACCCTCTAGCGAACCTGGATTTGGGTGATGACTTCTTTTGGTAGAACACAGTGCCATATGGCACAGATTGTTCTAAACTCTCGTGCTCAATCCGAGTCACCATTTTTTCTTCCCACATTTCCCACTTGCACCACTTTTTGCTCCCAACATTTGTAGCGTCCTGCATTCTCCTAGAAAAATCAGCATTATTTGTATACATGTACATACATGCAAAGGTCCGGTACTGGAACTTTAGCGGTAGTTATGGCTTTAGGCATGCAAATGGGATAAAAGTACACTGATCTAAGGCGCCGTGGAAAATGAAAAGGCCATCTATAATAAGTGCAATAGCCGTACGGCTTAAAAGTCGATTTTATCTAAAACGCCCCTCGAAATCGATCTAATATCTGTCCGGCCAACGGGCCCCGTCGCTGCGTATCCCCACCGTCAACTCCACTTCCACTTCCGCGGACTCTTTCCCCCGTCGCCGCTGCAGCAGCACGACTCTCGCCCTCTAATCGTCGCCGCAGCCCTTCGTAGCGCTCTGCCTCTGATCCGTGTGATGTTTGGGTTTGTCCTATAATGTCACTGCGCTGACGTCGATCAAACGCACTTTCCTGACCGCCGTAGACCCAGGGTGGAATCCGCCAGGACGGAGAGGAGAACCGGCCCGGGAGAAGCTCTGCACGCCAGGCGCAGCCAATTATCCAGCCTACGGCTGCAGGGAGGAGGGAGTGTGGGAACTGGGAGAGGGAGAGCTGGAAGGCGAGGAAGTAGACTGTGGATTTGTCGCTGAAGCGGAGGGTTAGGGCCTGGGAATTGGAAGCGCCGGTGGAGGTAGATATGTGATATTTGTAGGTTGTTGGAATGGCAGCGTGATATTGGGCCAAAAGGGCGAAGAGGATTGCGGTTGGGCCGGCGGGGAGGTAGTTGAGGGTGTTTAGGGTGAGGGGTCGGAGGAGAAGGGATAGCAGTAGAGGCGGGAGGAGGGTAGTATAGGGAAGTGTCGAGACGATGAAGCTCTGTCGCAGGGTTAGAGGTGATTTAGCTTGCAATGGAGACTGTAAAGCGGAGCTATAATAATCGGGATACGCATACAGCAAGCTTCCTTGTTCCCCATAATCGTTCCACCACGCGCAGATTGTAGAGAACCATACATGCCTGCAGAACTTCTGTAGAATTGGTGTAGCACATCTAGTCGAACATAAGCATGTTAGTGGATATTTCCAATCAGTTCCTGGCCTCTCGTTAGCACTAACCTGCCAGATTAAAACCCTCCACCATTGCCAGTAGCTCCATAGATGCGGCACGACTTGGATGTAGAAGAGATACTTCGTGTCTGCGATGCTCACCGCAATGGAGGACGAGACAATGAAGACGAGAGTATATTTAGTGAGAGTCGCATTGCTAAAGCCGGATGCTAACATTGTTAGTCGGCGATCTGCCTGCGTTTCCACCTGTTTCTCCTGGTTTGCGATCCCAGTCAGAGATGTTGTAGCAGCGTGGAGGACAACGATCGAGATGGTTGGGTTGATGTGTTAAATATGATGAGCACTATTCTGCGATTAGCAAAGATTGTGCCGTAAATTCGGCATTATTCCAACACCCCCGTCCTCGAGTGAAGCTGTCTTCAAAGATGCCGTGGAGATGGTGTCGTCGTTGACTCGTTTGTGTGGCGTGCGAAGCTCAAGAAACCACATGTCAACAGTGACGCCAACCAAATCCAACTCAACTTTGTCACCACATAATTATCCTAATGCTACGGAGAACAAACCGACGAAATTGTGTCATCTCTGACTAGTTAATTGATTTGCAACTCTATCAATGCATAGGTATATCCATGAATTTGGAAATATATCCCCGCGCCGTAACCCCCCCAATCACATGTACACCGTGGTTTTCACTATCCCACCTGTCCTGTAAATGCGCAAAGTGAGATGGCATGGTATCAAACGTTATACAAGAGCTGCATCCTTGGTCTGCTGTGCAAGAGCGTGTTTATACTCTGCAATAGCCTTTCCCAATGCATTCATGGTGGGCGCCATCAATTGGTTTACCACCTTCCGACCTCCTTCCACCCCTTTCAGGTTCGGTCGAATATTTCTGCCAGTCGCAGCCATCACTTCTCTGGCGTGCTGCTTGAGTTTCTCAACCTCGGCCTGCCTCTCAGCCTCAGCCTCGTTAGCCACAGCTTTGATCCGATCCATCGCCCGATTAAGAGATTCAACCAAGGAGGTGATCTCGGAAACGCGATCTGGATTTCCAGAGAGAAAGGCTTGCCAGAATTGATGCAGAAACTCTGTAGTCGTGGCATGGGTTAGCGTGAGGCTGTCAAAAACTGTTTGCGATAAGCCACAGGTCCTGGAATCTGATGCGGAATCAGCTTGTGTTCTCCTCTCTCGAATGGCCTCGAAGATCTGGGCTGATGCTCTGGCTAGACTAGCTTTCGAGCCGACAGGCTCCTTTTTAGGGTGTGATTCGTCCTCGTCACTATCGTCTTCTTCGGGCTCAACAAGTTGACCCAGTGCTACGCCAGTTCCTCTATCGGGGTATGTTTTGGTTACGTCAACTTGCAGAGACTTTAAAATCGCGGCTGGATCTTGGTTGGCAAAGATGCGGGCCTCCTCGCTTTCCGCGTCCTTCGTTGCCGCAAAGAATCTACTCTGATCCTTGATATTCAAAATGGTCCAATTCTGCTCTTCGTCTCCGCGAAGATCCCGCAGTTGCAGTTGATTAAAAGTCTCTTCATCCATTCCAATCGGAGCTGATGGATCATGGTCAATTGGCGCGACATTGGCCATGATCTTCTCACTCAGAGCATTCAGTGTTCGGATGATAGGAACCTTTTCCAGGGGCGATGGTCTCATGTCGAAATTGGGGCGATTACCATAGCGCTTAGCGTTGTCTTCATTCGCTTCGAGATCGATAATATGCGGTACGTTTGCCACCGGATGTCGCTCCCCATGCTCGTCGACCCTAAGGTATTTATCTAGTAACGAGTCTGTAGCATCTGATTCCGTGATTCGCTCGCCTCTCAACTTTTTAAAGAGCCTGCTTTGAAAGAATCGAGACCAGAACTCTTCCTCTGTCAACCTAGGAACATTCTCATCATAGGCCCGCTTAACCAACGGGTGTTGGTTGAACATCAGTTGTATTTGTTCTTTACTAATGTTTAACTTGGTCACGCTATTCTCCACCCGTGGCTTGAGTGAAGCAAGTACATTATATGAGCCGCGAGCCTGGGCCTTTTCAATGGCATGGGCGCGAAGTAGATGTATCCGAGAAGACCAGAACTGTTCCCTGAGCTGTCCACTCGTGACAGATTCTGGCTTTGTGCGTAGAGATTCTGCGAAGACCCGTCGTAGATTCGGGTCTGAACTCAACAGTGACAGCTGCAACTGGTCATCCGTCTTCAGTTTATTGTCATCGTACCAAATCGGCTTCTCGCTCGTAGTAGAAATTACCGCCTTGGCTATCGCCATGGCCGCCGACTGTCCCGCCGGTACAGGGGCGTGTGAACTTTTCGCCGCTTGAATGCCCGTATTGAGGACATTTTTAATTGTATCCGCCTCGCCACGGGCATTCGTTGCAGACGTGAAGGTAAAAACATACTGTTCTGGCGCCCCGGGGGTAGCGTTTCCAGCGCCGGGCGTTCCTGGTTGCTTTACAAAAATCTTGAGCATTACTTTCGCGCTAGTGACCGGGGTTTGCTGGAGATCTAAATAGAGCCAGACGAACGACACGAGTTAGCAATCACATCCTAAGCTACACGACTTTCTCACCTGGAAAAGCTCAAAGCCGAGAGAACTCCCACGAAGGATCGGAAGAGTGATTGTCAAATTGGCAAAGAGCAGACGTACGGCTGAGATTCGCAACCTGAAGCGTAAACCCGGCCACTGGACCGCCGCTTGCCTTTGGTGTCCACGAGACGGACTCTCCGTCACGAGACAGGGACAAGATTCCATCTTTCTTTTTATATGATGCTTCCGCACTCGCCGGAGCAGGCGCCATCTTCCTTTTTCGACTAAAACTTGAGAACCTGACAGCTCGCACTGCCTTGCGGGAAGACCGTCTGCATGCGACATGTACCCATCTGGAGATTTCAACAGAGAGTTATGCGAAGATGCAAGACGGATGAGAACCCAGGAATTGGCACTGTGATCGGAAACGGGCGAGATCGCCCCAGCTTTCGATTGGCCCTCCCTTATGTGCTCTGCAGCAAGAAGAGCTGCCATTCAGGAAGAGATTTCAATCAGCTTCAAGCAAGCTCGAGACATTCTGCCTGCCCGTCACGCCTGGATGCTGACTAACAAATTTTTTGATGACTAAGCGAAGATAGTTAGTTAGGTAATCCAACTAGTATCTCGCTCACGTGATCCACGCAGATCAGACGAAATCCCCCTTTTGGGTAGCTTAGCAAATGACGAGCATACAAGTCCTCTATCAGATTATAGCTCTTTGTGCTGAAGAGCAAGTTTTTAGTTAATTAATTATTTAAGCTTACAATCAATACTCTTAGTAACTATCTATGCCGTAGGCATCTTATTTGCTCTCTCCAGCAGTAAGATTATATGTGATTGTTACAAGATCTTTACAGAAGAAGTCAGAGACTCTTTTGTATAATCTTTAGTTTAGTTTTTTTTCGTAAATTAATTTGACTACATCTTTTTCTTTCTTTATTTCATATATTCTTGCTTTACTACTTCGTTCACTTCTTTTACAAATCAGGCTTGTCTGGATTTCTGGTATAGAATTCTTGAAGTAGCTTTCTTAATAAACGAATATTGCTTGTGGAAATCTATATCTTATTCTTATTATTATAGTTCTTCTAATATTTGTGATTCTACTTTCTTAAGTCTATTATCTTGTGAATCTGATCCTTCTTTTCATTCTTATTTATCTTACAGACTTCATAATAAGATAAGCTATCTATTTCTTGTGGATCTTATGCTTGCAGGGCAGGAATACATAAAAGATATGAGTTCGCAGACCTGGAGACAGCTTCAGTCTATAAACTTATAAGCCTACTCTCTCCACAATTCTACAAGATACATGCCTCAACAAATCCAATTTCTCGTTAGGCTGGATGGTCTTGATATTGTGAAGATCAAGTCACACCTTCTCTTCCACTTGGAAGATCTTTGTGGTGTACTTCTGATTTTAGTACTTTTTCTGGTATGCAGCAATGAAGACATCAACTTTCTGCGTTGTTGGTTTTGGCGTTTGGGAGTCTGATATTTTATGATGCCCCTGATTTACAACCAGGGCTCAAAATGCTGGTGAGAATTAAACCAGCGATGCTTCATTCTCTTCGCCCCTGATCTCACCTACCGCTCTTTTCCCTCACTCAGCTCGCGAGAACAAATCCAGCTTTGTGCTGCATAACACAGTTTCCTGGACTGGTGGCCTCCCTTAGCTCTTCCTTTGTGAAACAGCAATCCATGATGAGCGAGAAGAGTCAGAGTCCTCCTTTCCTGGATCGAGATATGTTTGCCTATACCTCAGGTCACTATCTTTACAATGAGAAATGTTGAATGGCCAAGCAATATGTTGAGTTCAATGTTGAAGCACTTCAGAAAGTTGCGGCTTAGAGTGTTAACCAGGAAAGTGTTGCGCATATGTGGAAACTTGCAGAAGGTGGCTTCAACAGAGTCTTACTTGTTGACCATGAATGATGGACTTGAGGTCATTGTCAAGATCCTGTACTCTATTGCAGAGCCCAGAAAACTTGCAACGGAGAGTGAAATTGCAACACTAGACTAACTGCGCTCGAAAGGGATACCCGTGCCCAAAGTTTACGGCTGGTCCTCTGAAGCAAATAACGATGTCGGAACCGAATATATTATTATGGAGAAGGCTGCCGGTCAGCCTTTGGAAGCACGATTCAAAAACCCGGACCCAGAGCCGCCGAAGGATTACTCCAAGCCCTCGCTTCCAGAAGACTACGAGTCCCTCGACCCTGAAGCAAAATCCCAAGCTGATGAACTTCATCGAAGACGAATGCTGTTCTATCTGTACATGATCTTCAATGGAAAGGACAACAAACCCCACCTTAACACCATGCGATATCCAGGAATGATGCCCATTCAACACCTTGTTGATAGGGCGGGGCGTCCTTGGACCAGAAACATCGTCACACCCAAGGGTGCTCTTATCAGACTGATCAATCACTGGGCTGTGTTGATGTCCACTCGACATCAGAAACATCCCTGCCCCATCCAGTTCAACGCAAAAGACGAAGAGGAATTCTATGAACTTGAAGAAAAATGGTTCAAGATCAATATACTTGTGGAACACTGGCAGTCGCTGCTGGATGATATGGGGCAGGATGGATGGGTTAGAAATGAATTGTTTGAGAAGGATGTGGAGACTAATAGGCAGCTGAAGAGAAAATGGATTGATGAGGCTGAGGATGAAGAGGACCTCGCTTATGTGGAACACGGTTGGCCGTTTCAGGATCATGAGGAGGATGATTAAATGCTACTATTGGCAACATAGTCTAGCCAGGTTGTACGATGAGATACAATGTCATCAAAATATGTATGGGGTATATTTCTATATAGTTGATTGATCCGCATATATATTTCGTATAATTAACAGATGCCAGTATAGTTCCACTAAATTGAATATATAACTAGAACTATTGAGCTTTAAACACACTCTTTTACATATGTTTTCTTAATTTACATACGTTTCCCAATTTTCTATGTGGATTTGAAACTATACAATGGCTTGTCAGATACCAAAACCATATGGCAACAGTAGAAATATGGTTCTATCAGGAAAACATTTTCTCTGGTTAGAACCGTGGCTCAACCATGGATTCACTGTTGTCCCAACAACCCCCGAATTTCAGTATGGCTTTCCTCGAGTATCATCCTCGCCCCATCCGTATTTATTCCATAGTTTTGTCCATGTCGGTATTGGAATAGGTTTCTCCTCCCCGAGAACCCACTCTTTACCCTCTGCTATGCGCTGTGCTCTCTCCTCCTCCTCCGGTGAAAGAGTAAAACGCCTCATTCGTGCGCCAATCCGCGGATCTATTACTACATCATCAAGCCATTCTCGCTCTTTAAGATCTGGGTTCTCGGGGGTCTTATGCACTGATTTGTGCCACTCTTTCTCTTCTTGCTCGAGTACATGTTGTTGTTCGTAGCTGAGTGATGAAGATGATGTCGGTGAGTCGGAGTCAGTAGATTCTAAGCTTGTGGATTGATAGTTGTCTGAGTACGGTCTGTATGAAGATGCGAGGACAATTGCAGCAACGTCTCTGCCGACACTGTCTGCCAGGTAGCGACGGGTGAGGAATCGTTTAATGCGAATAGGGGTATTGAGGAATCCTAGGATATGCGGGAAGGCAAGTGGCAATGAAGGTTGGAATTCGTCGGGCAGGGAAGGTGGAAGTTCTTGCGAAGAGTAGAGCGATGGTAGGAGGTATGTAAGCGTCGGGCCCTTTGGTTTCTTGGCCTCGGGCTTCTTTTCCTCTTTTCCCTTTTCGTCCTTCTTGTCCACTTCAGCCGTATTCGAGCCATCATCGGTGATTTGAGGGTTAGGTTCAGTTTCGGCCACTTTCTCGGTCGTTGGTGGGACGAATTCGGGCTCCGCGACAATAGGATTAACAGGTCCGAGCCACCCTTCATGGAGTCCACGAACGTATTCTTTCCACGTATGCCGACCGATAACAACGTCGCCCTTGACACCAGGTTCATCATGTGTTCCGAACAGCTCCCGTACCCGTCTCATTGAGGTTTCATGGTCATCTTCTTCCAAAGGGGGGCCTTCACCAGCCGTCTGTCGAAACTTTCGAATCTTTTTAGCGAGAGCCGCTCTGATATCACCTTCTCTTCTACCTTCTATCACTTCGTAGTCCATCGCTCCGGAGACTAAAATTGGCTTAACGTATTCCCTAAAATGATCCCTGGCGCTCATTAAGCCGTCACCAGGAGGTGCTGCGAGAAATATCGTAAGTTTCCGCCGTGTCTCATTCGTGGGGATAGGCTCTTTGGCTATATGGGCGACCAAGTTGGACCATTTCTCTTGGACTCGTTTCTTCTCCCGGCGGTCGTATATCAAAGCCCCAAAAAAAGACCCGGTGACTGTGAGAAATATCATCCAATTCCGCGAAGGAAGTTTTAGTCGTAAATTCGGGAGACCTTTTAAAGCGGATTAGAACCCAAACATCAACCGGCCCGAGCTCTACCTACCAAGCATCCTAAGAGCGGGATTCTGCGGCTTCGGGGCCGCCTTCGGGGCACCATTTTGCGGAGGCGGGGTTGAAGGAGTGCTCGAGTCGGCCATGATAGCAATTGAGCAGACTCAGATTATCAAGTAGGACAGAAGGTATATTGAATTTTGCGCAGAATTCGCTGACCCCGAGCTGCTGTCCGTTCGCCCTCGAAAAAAAAAGTAGTTTTGGAGCTCCGAAGGTTTGTTATCGGGATAAAGTTATTCCGTAGCCTCCAAGCTCGGGCTGACCTCCAGTCCATCTAACTTTGTATCTTACCCAGAGTACACAGAGTCCTCTGTAAATAGTCAAAGAAATCTGGATTTTCCCAAAATGCCGCTTTAGCACATGACCCAGAAGGGCGTTGAGGGTAGCATCTATTCTCACTCACAACCAACATACACACTCCTATCCGCCAGATGTCGGAGATGCTGTCTTGCGGATGGAAGAGAATGAACACTAATAATCTAGTTCGTCACAGGTTCAATTTTGGTCATGGATGGATACACCATAAAGAAATCAGCCTTTGCAACAAGCAACTGATTATTGTGACATCCTCTTTTTTGATTTCCATGCAACAGGCTCTTCTCTGGACTTCTTCTGGCACAGAATTATCTTCATGTTTGTGTGTTTGAATGTGCAAAATGAGCTGCAACACGAGAATGAAGTGAAGTTTAAACATACATGGCACTATCCTTATCCTTGGATAATTTCAATTGTACAACGTTAACTTGTCATGTTGCTTCCAAGAACTTATACTTCATCATATCAGCGTGTTCTCAATCCACAAACGGCAAGGCCTTGAGCCATGCCTTCCGCTCCTCCTGGCTCCTAGCCTCGCGGCTCAGGAAGCTCTCGATCCCCTCAGCCAGTTGTCTCTTCGAAACTTCGTAATCCTCGTTGCTTACCCTTCCATCCCAGTGTTTAAAACACCCCGTCTCATTAATGAAGTGGTTCATAAGGTCAACCCCTTGAGCCCATAGCTTCTCGTCATGCTCCTGCTGCTCCACCTCAGCAGCGGAAAATCGCAATGGGCAATGTTTCGAGGGTAGACCGTCTGGGCCATTCCCAACAATTGTTGACCACCCTTTCTCGACCTCCCTTAATAAGCCAGTGAGGCATGGCTCGGAGTCTGTTATTGTCAAACCTGGTACAACACTAACTTGGTGACGGAGACTGTCCTGACCCTTTATGGCTTGGAACGCTGTCGGATTAATCTGGCGAGACAGAGCCAAATAGAGATTGTGCAACGTCTGGGCTTGACGCAACTCCTTTGCCTTCCGCTGTTCGTCAGGAGTCATGAAGCCAAAGTTGGGAGGCAAGCTAACTCGCCCAAGTTCCTTAGGAATCGGACCATTGTAATCTAAAAACCCCGGCATTGTGACCTGCATGAATAGAGGGCAGATGCTGACGGATTGCCAGTCAATTATACCCACAATTCGGGTTGGCTCTGCTGGATCAATGAAAATATTCTGTAAGTGCAAATCACCGTGCCAAAGAACGGGGACATGGATTGCTCTATTATCAGGTAGGACATAGGGAGCCACCTTTAAGTAGTTGCGTAATGCCGACAGTTTTTTCGATGCGCTTGGTTGGTATTGTCCGGGCCCATAAAAAAGCCCTTCTGGCATTAGCGGATATCTCAAGCCCATATCCACGCAGGATATCTCTCTATGGGCAACTGCCTCTAGGTACGCCGTAGTTGTGGACCCTAAGCCCCAGTATTTAGTATTTAAATTAGGACAAAAAGAAAGATGCTAAGACGCAGATCTTACATGGCCCACGATCGATATCTAGTTCTCCCCTCCCAAAATCAAAAAAAGAACGGTGGTTAGTAGGACCGATTCCAAACTCTTCAGTGTGTACCTCATTTCCGGCCCTGTCGACATACAACACCGTATCATGATCCGATGAAGGTAGATCACGCTTGTAATATAGTGCCCCGAGTTTTGTGAACTTCGTCGATGCAATGGTCTTTTCAATATCCACAATTTGTTTGACAATCTGGGCTTTCTGTTTTCCTCTCATGGTTTCCCACATATCACTTAGCATCGTGCCAGCCTGCTTTTCCATGATAATGTACTCTGCTCCAACTGCATTGTCAGACGCCCGGGAGCTCCACGCGTGGACCTTGGGAACCGGTAGATGAAGAGTATTCCGCAGCTAAAGAGTCAGTCCATATGGCGAGTGGAGGGAAAGAGAAAGAGGCAACAGTACAAAATCCATAGTCGCAACTTCGCTTGCGGTGGTGAAGTGCAACCGCCCTGCATTAGGGTTCGGCAGCTTCGCGATTACCTCGCGGCCGTCATGCATCGTTAACTGAAACACCTTGTTATACTGACCTTCAGAAAGTTTGACAACTTCAGCACATGATTCTGATCCAATGGAAGCAGCAGCAAGTTTCAATAGCTTGGTTATGTTGAATTTCACGTAGCGGGCGGCAAGTTGCTGGCGCTCGTTCCAAAGCCATCGGCCCGAGGTGAATCGATTGAGCGCATCTAAATCATGTTTTGAATCTATAGAACAACCAAGCAAGAGAATATGCACATTGAATTAGCTGTTGTTTGGTACAATGCGGAATCACATTTCTCTTTCATACCGATGAAGTCTCCCTGCCTCTGGTCCATCCGACACCCGACGCTGAATTGTCGTACCAGTGAGTGTGAACACAAGAGTAATGGAACCTCAAGCGGATTGTTGAGGATCACTTTGTAGATAGGCCTCATGACCCATAACTGTTGTGCTATATGAGTTCTGGGTTGACCAGTTCTGGGTCGAGGTGCTCTTTGGTGTGTCTGGAGCGTAGAGCTTGATGCAACAACTTACGCGCCAGTCAATCCTGTGCCAACCCGGTACGGCACGAGTAATTCCAAGAAACTCGGCCAATCTATGCTGGGTGAGTGCTTGTCTACTAGCATAGGTTCTTGGCTATGTGGGAGGACATTGAACAAATCTGTATAGAAGGCCTGCCGGCTAGATCTGTTCGATAGTTCAGCAGCCCGGAGCCAGCTCCCTTACAAGGGCATGGTGTTAATACCATTTGTAACAAACCCCCTTGATAGCTACATGTGTATGGAGTACTACGGAGTACAGAATATGACGTTCTCTTCTCCTGCGATGAACATACCAAGATAGGGTATGAATAGCTCATTGAGCTGCGCATTTGAGGAGATCTCTTTTGGACTCTCACTTTGGTCCGGAAAGAGTAACGAAATTGACCAAACCAGTGTTGAAACAATCATGTTGTCTTCCCCCCTTGTTTTTGGATCCTATTGAAACTTTGCATCAGCCCGTTCCAGAGCACTCCCCCCAAACAGCCTCCCAGGCCAGAGATGCCACGACAGAGCGGAAGAAAGCATGCCGCTAGCAGCTCTTGGCAGCCGGGCTTCACGTGGTGCTGAACAAGGTTACGGCTGCTGCCGCCAAACTTTTATCCGCGAAAACATGGGAAATCCGCTAGCCTGAAGCAGCCTGGCGTGGCGATTCGGGGCAATCTAGCAGGAGTCGTGCTGTTGCATCAAGCTCCCTCCTAACCCTCACCTGTCCCCTGCTGATCTTATTCACTCCCTGTGGTTGCTTTATGTCCTCTTCTATCGCTTTGATCCGATCTCTCACTCGCGTCAGACTGCCTCTGGGGGACCCTGCCCTCCTTCTCAGCACATGGACTAGGCTTTGTTCCCCGGCATTTGTGTGTTGTCAGGACAATCCAGTCCCCTCCTGAGCCCCCATCTTCACCCCCTCGCGTCTCGGTCCAGTCTCCCCTTGAAACCAAATCGCCCACACTATTCAACCCTCAGAGCCAGAATTCCCCTAACAATCACTTCCGTGGCCATGGACCCGAATAATCCCAATAATCGCCTTAATCTCAACTTCGGCTTCAATGACCGTCCGTACACCGCCTCCGACCCTCGGGCCTACCCAACCACCCCATCGACTTTCCCACAACCAATGTATCCAAACCAAGGCGGTCACGACTATGTCGATGGCCAGAATGCGCAGAGTGCGTACAATCAAGGATATTTTGTGAACAACCCGTATGCCCAGCAGGCCCCTCATCCGCAGCAGTACATGCACGCGAATGTCGCCTCGCCTCAGCCCGGATATCAGACCCGCATTGGTGGATATCAGCAGAATGATGGAACAAATGGACTCATCCAGCAGTTTTCGAACCAAGATCTCGGCGGTTCCCCCCGTGGAGGGGGTGCTGGTCGTGGCCCCGCGCCCTCCCAGCGTCCTCGCACTGCAGGCTCGCCTGCTGGCAACCAAGGAGCCGGACATTTGGCACCACCGATGTCTAATCGCAGCCCCAAGCCGGCTGGTGAGGAAGAAGAGCTGGTTAGATGCCCGGAAAAATACTCTGAGAACGTCCATAAGAGAGGAAAAGCGGCCAAAGAGTTGGTCAATGTCTTCTTCCGTGAGAACATCGAGCGCGCACGTGATCGAAATCTCCGGTAAGTCAAGATCCTTTTTGATTGATAGATATGATAGATGCTCACAGTGGCTTTATAACAGTGCTGTCAACCTCGACAAGACCTTGCAGAATAATACGCTTTCGGATGCCCGAAAACGACATGAGGCAGACACTGTGGCTAAGAAAGAATCCAACTTTTTGCGATTCATTCGCACCAGGGAGACTGTTTCTAACTTCCAGACCCTCAAAATTATCGGCAAGGGTGCTTTCGGCGAGGTGAAACTTGTTCAGCGCAAGACAGATGGGAAGATTTACGCTTTGAAATCTCTGATCAAATCCGAAATGTTTAAGAAAGACCAACTTGCACACGTCCGCGCTGAACGTGACATCCTTGCTGACTCCAAGGACAATCCTTGGCTTGTGAAGCTGCATGCATCGTTCCAAGACAAAGCCTATCTTTACCTACTCATGGAATTCTTGCCTGGTGGTGACTTGATGACGATGTTGATTAAATATGAAATCTTCTCCGAAGATATTACTCGATTCTACATGGCAGAGTTGGTGATGGCTATCGAAGCCGTTCATAAACTTGGCTTCCTTCACCGGTAAGAGTTCTTGTTTTATCCCGGTCGGTTCAGGATAGAATTAATAGCGTGGTTTCAGAGATATCAAGCCAGATAACATCCTCCTTGACCGCGGTGGCCACATCAAACTTACAGATTTTGGTTTATCCACTGGCGGAAAGAAACAGCACGATAACTCATATTATCAACAACTTCTGAAAAACACTTCTACGTCGAAGGATAAGAATCGCAATTCGGGATTCTTCAACGACGCTATAAATCTGACGGTCTCCAATCGTGGCCAAATTAATACCTGGAGAAAGTCTCGTCGTGCCATGGCTTACTCAACGGTGGGAACACCTGACTACATTGCCCCTGAGATTTTCAATGGACAGGGCTACACATATCTGTGTGACTGGTGGTCCGTTGGCGCTATTATGTTTGAGTGTCTTGTTGGATGGCCGCCGTTCTGTGCCGAAGAGGCGACAGATACCTATCGAAAGATCGTCAACTGGAGAGAGTACCTTTACTTCCCCGAAGAGTTAACTCTTTCCCGCGACTCTGAACATCTCATTCGAAGGTATGTTTATTAATGTTTGCATCGGTATTTCAGAAGTCATGGTTAACATTTTTGACTAGCTTCCTCTGTGACCCCGAACACCGTATTGGCCAGGAAGGAGGCCAGCATGGCGGCGCTATGCAGATTAAGAACCATCCATTCTTCCGTGGAGTCGTCTGGGATCAACTTCGCAAGATTCGCGCTCCGTTCGAACCCAGACTTACTTCTAACATTGACGTTTCTTACTTCCCCATCGACGAGATTCCTCAGGAGGACAACAGTGCTCAGCTACGTGCTCAAGCTCGTGCTATGCCGGAAGAACAGGAAGCTGAGATGAGTCTTCCGTTCATTGGGTACACCTACAAGGCTTTCAATGCCTTCCAAGCTAGTTAAGTTATCTTCCAAGAGATGGTGTTGTCCGAACTACATTACACCCGAATGGCACATCTTCACTTTGGAAAATAATTCTTCAAACTATCGAGTCTCTTACCGGATATGACAATATTTTAATGACCCCAACCTCTTTTTCGTTCTCTAAGAAGCCCTGTCCAATACGTAATGCGACTATACGCGTGTTCTTTGAATGTCAGGGCTAAGTTTTAAAAAACGGAATCGTCCAAAAGAAGATCAGGACTGCGAAGCTTTGATCAAGTTCCGGCTCGCTACGCACATCGCAATCGACACCTTGACTCTCGTAAGCATTTACAAACCTTCAAAATATAGATGCTTTTATACCCCATCAACATGGAGACGGTGCTTAAAAGAAATGCCAATTGAGCTATAAGTTGTATAGACATATGTGTTACATATTCGATTGCATAGAACTCCTAATCCGAAGAACCAGCCCAATTTTGACATTCTAACTCCAGACCATCCAGCCCCAAACTCCCAAGCAGAATCTAAGCATATCACTGATAATCTCCCAACTCATCGCCTCGGTAGACTTGGAGCCAGACCAGGCACACCGGAGTATCTCTCTTCTCTCTCCGTCTTGAACAGTATCTGCACCCAAAACTCCTTACTGTCCTCATCAAACCAGGTCCAAAACTTGCCCTCTCTCCGATCCACTTCTCTCGCCTGCAACTTAAATCCACACGTCTGATATGGCTCCGCTGCAACAAGAAGGTACTGAAAGTTTTTGTCCGGCGGATCATCCACCTTCTGCTCAAAAGCAGACATGAATCTCACGCGCGGCACAACGCCAGGCGTAATTTCCTGATACTGTAGCTGGAAAAGGAGGCCGTGCTGCCTTGTGAGCGGGTCTCGGATCTTGGTGATCTTGTAGCCCGGGCGACCTATCTTGACTGTGTTGCGCTTCACTTGTACACCCATGCCAGCAGGGAGTAAAGAGCCATCGGCTTGAGATTTGCCTTCTTTCTGCTCCCGGGCGGCGCGCCGGGCGAGGTTGGTCTGATGTTTGCGGCCCTGGGTGTGGGCGAGGTAGGAGCCGTCATTTTGGTGAACGGTTAGACAAAGACGGCATTCAAAGCTGCCAACGTGGTTTTTGAAGAAGTACGGGTCTTTGTCGAGATCGATGTGTTCCAAGGCAAGTTTGCGAAGGCGTTCGCGACGGTCAGCGTTGGTGGCGGAGTGGGAGGCTACACCTCCTCCGCCGAATTTTGAACCCACGCGATTCTGGGAAGGGTAGGTTTTAGTTACTGCTGTAGTATAAAGCGGCAGAGAGCGGTACTTACTTGATAATCCATGTTGATTGTTGTGATGTGAGCAGTCTGCTACTGTGATTTTGCTTGCATGCTGCAGCTCATGGAAGACCTGCGATGCAATGCTGGGTCTAAGGACGCGCTTAGTCATCATCTACATCCATACCGTGGAAGTCTCTCGCAGCCCATATTCGTTGAGTGCTACAACATTACGGAGTACAAGTTTGAAAATAGGAAGTATTGATTTCATGGAGTGAAGTGGAATTGAAAACATATAATTTTTCATATTATATCATTTTATATGTCGGATTGGGAAACTATTCAACGACAGCCCGTAGCAAGGGTTGGCACAAGGCGCTCATATGATGGATCTTTATGCACTATTAGATACATAGGCAAAGTTCAGGGGACCGATGGGGAGTGGCTGGGAGTGGAATGGGACGACCCCGCAAGAGGAAAACACTCAGGAGAGCATAAGGGAGTGAAATACTTCGAATGTACTATTTCTTATGCTCCATGTCCACCCCGACTTTCATATAGACTTCAGAAGACGAGGCTAATCTATTCCCTAGGTAGAAGTAATTCTCCTACTGCTGGCTCTTTTCTGCGCCCAGCTAGATTGGCAGATAGGCCTCGAGGATTCCTTGAAGCTCTTCGCACGAAGTATGTCTCTGAGATTACTTCTGACATGTCTGGTTCGCCCTCTAGAGGCAGCAGGCCAATTGAGATTAGCGGGAAGGTCGTGGAAGAAGTTGGCTTTGAGAAGATTCGAAAGCAGCTTGCCGCACTGCGGGAGCTAAAAATCGTTATTTTGGACGGAATGCGCTTGAGAGGCGTTCTTGCAGTGGATGCGGACAATGATCTGCGCAAGCGAGAATTGGAAAAGATCAAGGACACTTGCCCGATGATTAGGGAACTTGATCTCAATCGGAATTTTCTGGCAGACTGGATAGAAGTTATGGATATTTGTGAACAGTTCATGGACTTGCGAAGTTTGAAATTGAAGTATGCGCGAGAGCTTCCATTTCGCCCTTGTCGCCTAATGCAGCTGGTGTTAAGTTACTAACTCGCTGCAGCGGTAATCGTCTGGGTACCGTCCCTAGAGATAGATTAGTGAAAGGAGTCTTGGAGTTGTCCCTTGATGAGACTCTCATGACATGGGAAGAGGTATGATCACCATACAGCAGGGCGTATTTGTCAGGTATTGGCTCATCGATTGTGCAGATATCTATCCTTTCTTACCGATTTCCCGACCTCCGGTCCCTATCCCTATCGTCCAATCAAATATCCTTGGTTTCGAGGCCGATAACAGACACCATTCGAGAGCTATCCTTAGAATCCAACATCTTCTGCTCTTTAGGGAGTCTTTCGCATCTAGCATCTCTCCCGCAATTAAATCGCCTCTCGCTTCGCCGTAACAAGATAAGCAAAATCCAAGATGCTACTGAGAAAAATGCTCCTCTAGTCTTCTCACCTACGCTTACTACTTTGGATATCTCGCTAAATCTAATAGACTCTTGGGCCTTCATTGATGCCCTTCCGACCGTTTTTCCTGGTCTTACGAACCTCCGCATATCAGATAATCCTCTCTACGAGAAACCGCCCGCTTCTACTGCCATTACAGGATTGCCTGAGGAACGTATGACCGTTGATGAGGCTTACATGCTTACGCTTGCTCGACTCTCCAAGTTACGGGTGTTGAACTACGGCAAGGTATCACCCCAAGATCGGGTCAATGGAGAACTTTACTACTTGTCTCTTATTAAGAAGGAACTGTCAGCGTTCCCCGAGAGCGCAGAGAAGCGGATTCTTGCCTCACATCCCCGATATGACGAGTTGTGCCTAATATACGGTACCCCTGAAATCAAAAGATTGGAGGGGGATGCTGCTATAAATCCTCGATCGCTGGCAGCACGACTCGTCAACTTTACATTTTACATTCCAAATCCAAACACAGTCGCATCAAGAGGTTATATTGACGATAAGCCTGTAGCTGCACAGACAACCACGGAGTTTAAAAGGGAGATCCCGAGGACCTTTGATATATATCGCATCAAAGCTATCGTTGCGCGTCATTTCTCCCTCCCCCCTCTGAGTTTCAAATTGATCTGGGAGACTGAAGAATGGGACCCAGTTGAAGAAGGGACGGCAGAAGAAGATGAGTGGGATAGCAGTGACGAGATAGATGGAGAGCCAGCCGAAAGAGAATGGAGGAAGAAATTCGTTCGACGCGAAGAAGAGTTTGTTGATTCCACAAGGGCCATCGAGCACTGGCTAAGCCATGATACCCGTGAGCTTAGAGTTAGGGTAGAAAGGTATTGAGCAACTAATACATGTGAGTCTGGAAGGTACATACATCTTTGATGGCGAAGTCTATGGTCAGAATGGGACCACTTTCGGATGCATTATATCTCTTTGGATGTAGACATGGCTGGACAGGAAGTCATTTGGGACTTCATGCCATCGGGATGGTTTACCCGCTGTAGTGCTGCTATGTCTGTAGAGAGTTCTCTTCGCATGTAGATTCTCTAGCAATTCCTGATAACAAAGACAGAAATACTGAAATCGGATTGGCCAAGTGGAATGTAAATCCGTGATCCCGCCTGTCCTACCACGACGCTCTCCTTGAGCAGCACAGAATTGAAAATTTTTAGAGCCAATTGCTACTAGAACCATCACACAATTCTGTATTGAGTGAAATTTTTGGTAATGAGCGGGCTTAATCACAGGCCCCAGAAAGCCCAGTCATAAGTTCCCATGTCCCTATCGCTTCTGGTCAGAAACGCTCCAAGGAAACATCAAACAGGGCTTGGTGTGCATTTTAAGCCTAAAATTGTTGTCTGTCCTCTCTTCATGATTCTGCAATCAAAAAAAATCTCGAAAATTGAAAAGCCCCAAGATCACGGTTTACCTTAGAGGAATGGTCAACCTGGAATTAATAGCATTTAGTTTACCAATTATCATTAGTACCATTACCAGAGATCAAAAGTGCCAGCTTTTGGAGTAGCAACTACATAGTTATGTAGTCTGGGCTATCCATCTGAGCGCCTGCTCCATATAGAGAGGACTCTCGTACGTAGAAGATACTTTCCAAGAGCCAAACGCCCGCGCAACGCTAACTAAACTTTGGACAGCGCCAAGCCCTCTTGAGGCAGGAAACTCCGACTGCTAAGCTACGTCTTACAAACTTGACGAGGAGTTTTATGCAACTCTTAGTACGCTTGCGCAATGTCTGAATATTGGAAGTCAACGGTAAGTCAATACCTACCCAGATGCGCGATTCAGCACTGATGTTTCGTGGTCCAAATTAGCCAAAGTACTGGTGCAAACATTGCAAAACCTATGTCCGTGACACTCCTTTCGAGCGGACGCAGCATGAAGCGACAGGCAAACACCAGGGGAGTCTAAAACGGTTTCTCCGCGACGTTCACCGCTCGCAGGATAAGGACCAGAAAGACTCCCAGAAGGCGAAAAATGAAATCGAGAGACTGAAGGGGTTGGTTGCGCCCACAACAAAAGCATCCGGCCAACAGCCGACGTGGAAGCGCGGCACGGGGCATTTGGATAGTGGGACTTCCGCATCTCTGAGTGTTAACAAAGAACAAAGGAAGAGGCAGATGGAACAGCTGGCTGAAATGGGAGTTGCAATACCTGAGGAGTTTAGGCCAGAGATGGCGTTGGCTGGTGAGTGGAAGACTGTTTCGGAAACTCTCGTTACGGACTCTACCGGGCGCGACACCGCTGCCATGGTTAAAGGCGTCAGGAAAAGAAAATTGGATGGCCAGGAGGAAGGTGAGGAGGGGGAAGAAGACGAAACTAGCGGTGTGGTACCTGATCAACAACGCCTAAGGAAGGTCTGGGGCTCGACCTTTAAAAGCCATCCGGGTCTAGGGGAAGATGATGAAGAACTTGAGGCCCTTTTGAGCAAGACAACACACCTGAAGGGGAAAAAGCCTAAGCTGGAATCTAAGTCTGAAGATGAAAGAGTGGAAAAGGAGGCACCCGCAGATTTTCCAGCGACTGAACCCCATCACGGTGGCGTAGCCGTGGAAAAGAAGGAAGAGAACAATATCAAGCGGGAAGCACCGAATGAAGATGGCCCAGGTGCATCTACCATAGCCGAAGCTGGCTCCGCGGGAGACCCCACATCTCCGATCATTTTCAAGAAGCGAAAGCCCAAGCAGAGCAAGAGATAAATACCGCTCTTGACGAAACACACCTACAAGCTTATTACGACGATAGATCTCTGTATCCGGAACCCGAACATTGGCTCAATGACGGTATTAAAAGGCTGTCGCTAGACCGGAGCACAGACGGCTATTCATTTTTGGGCGTTGAAGGAAAACCATGGTGATGTACGGAGCTTCGCTCCTATCCCCCAACATTTCAACAAACAGTGCCCTCTTTTAGTCGTTTCGGTCCGATCGGCTCTCTCGTCTGATCAGAATACCCGAAAGGATATATATGTGTCTGGTTTGATACCAGTAACAGGAAGTCTGTGCACATATTCCTCAATGGGACTGAAGGAAGGAGGATCCTAATCCCGAAAACCCTCAAAGTCTAAAAACCCCCCCATTTAATCCAAGAACTGCCCAGCGAATGTTCCTGGATTCAAAATGATCGAACTGTTGTGCTGGCCGAACACCTCAAGATTAGGTCATGACCCGAGTCATTGCTAGCTAAATATGGAGTACCTCATTCCTTTTGATAGGCATTCACTGTATCCTATTATAAATCAAAATCTTGAAGTTATCCATGGCTTTCCTCAATCTCCTCCTGGGCTGTTTTGCTGTTAAGGTATCTCGGGAATTCACGACTCCAAAAACTGTCCTTCACTTTGAAGCACTAAGCTTGGCATCAATTGCCACTCACCATTTCCCTGACAGCTCAACCAAATCCCTTGCAAAACTTCTGCAGCTGTAAAGATTTTTCTAATTTTTTTTAAAAAAAAGAAATATATATACATTGATATTTCAATATCTCTCTTGCTCCCATTATCGTAGCGCCTTTGTTGCACGTACGGGAAAACACAGGAATAGGCAAACTCTTTCTTTAGAAAGGCTGGAGAAGGGTGAAATCGACGCGATATCCCTATCAGCAGCATACTAAACTGCAGGTGTTTCGGACTGATCTTGTGAGTGCTTTTTGTTTGTTTTCTGATCGCTGCAGCGTCCTCACCGTGGTGATGGAATACTGGGAATAAAGCAGGAAGCTCAAGTGCCTTGCTGCAACTTGACATGCTGACAACAGCTCCGTCTGCACTGTCGGACCCCCCCAAGAGGACTCCCAAAGTCCCATTAGATTAAAAATGTGCTAGCTAGTGCGATTACTACTGTGGTTGTTTCGGAGCTGTGCAGGTGTTTTGAAAGCAGCTACGGATCGCTGGGTAATTGGTGCCGGTGTCGCATTCCATCTTCTGCTTGATTTACTCTGCGCATTGGGCTATAATGTTGGACATCCTGGCTAACTCTTGTAGTTTTGAAGTTATATATCTCTTCTACGACGGTATCACTGGCGTCGGTATTTCTTACTGGGGTTTTGCCCCGTTCCGCATCCTGGTCGAAGGTCAACCGCTGATGTTGCGGTGTAACGGCTGAATCTCCGTGGTAGAGCCGCAACGGGGCGGTCAATGTGGTAGCTTTGGAAAACATTTTGGGTTTATTCAATTCGTTATATGGCCATGGCGGAAACAATGCAGGCCCATCCGGCGGTCCCAGCGCCGCCAAACCCGGCAAAGGCTTCACGAGATGTGGAAATGGCGAACGCACCCGTCGCATCAACACCGACTCAGCAGCCTATTCCTCCATACCAGCCTAACTCAACTCCAGTTTCTATCCCTGCTCCAGCTCCGCCATCGTCCCAGCCTCCGTCACATACTTATCCACCTCCTCCTATCCCATCTCAAGCTCCGGCGGGCGCTCCGCAACAGGTGAATCCTCCACAGCCACCGAATCAACCGCAACAACTACCGCTTCCGCCAATATCAACTCCGAATAACTTGCCTCCATCAACCCAGTCGAGCCTACCGCCTGCCAACCCGATCAACAGTCATGTTCCACCTACGCCGGCGCCGCCGAACCCGCAGATGCACATGGGAACGATCCCCATGGCGATATCGTCGCAACCAATAGCCGGATACTATTCAGAGCTGCCTGCGAATTCGCAAAGTCCCGAAGGATTCGAGATGATCAGCGATGGCGGCGGGATGCTCGCTGGAAACCGCATGGGGAAAAAGGACGTCAAGCGACGAACGAAGACTGGATGCCTGACCTGCAGAAAGCGCAGAATTAAGGTAAGTAATCCCCGTCAGTTGTGTATTTGTAGCCACATGGTGCGACGATTGATTTGGCGTTATCGTTGTTCGTTTCGCGGGTTCTGCCAGACTATATAAAAAATAATGTTCTTCCTCCCCGCAATGAAGCTCGCTTAAAAAGCGGGTGACTCGGGGGCGCCAGATGCCCCTCCACCAACCAGACCTTAACTCCCGCAAGCTTTCACTGAGCTACACACTTTGTCCCTGGCTGTCGTCCTGCCTGAGAAAGCCATTTGATTCTTTCTTTTCTGTCCGGGTAGAATTTCCCGTCAATTGACTCGATGGAAGCTTACGTCGCTACTGCTATCTAGTGTGACGAAAGACACCCCATCTGCCGGAATTGCGAGAAAAGCAAACGCGAATGCCTTGGATACGATCCCGTCTTTAGATCGCAGCCAGGGCCTTCAGCTATCCAACCAGCGCCCTCCCAGACTTCCTTCCAAGTCTCAGCGCCGCCGCAGGTGCCGCAATCCGCACCAGCACCTCCTGTCGCCTCTCACCCGGTATCCGGGCCTCCGTCCCACTCTCCGTCCGTCCCTACCCCATCTCCACAAGTCGCGTCTCCAGCGACAGAGCAGTTTAACCAAAGCTCTAACGTCAACTCCGCCGCCGCCGCAGCCGCGGCCGTACGATCCCCTAGTGTCCCGGCCACCCAAGAAAGCTACGAACACTTACTCATGGCGAACGCTATTCCGGAGTGCCGCAGTCTCGAATGTAGGTCAAACCCACGTTTCTCAGCTCTTGGATCTAGCTAATACCGCTGGTAGTGCATCAGATAAAGATCGATGACCTGTTGACGATGAGCGGCCAGCCGGGCCCTCTTCCAGAGAAGCTGGAGCTACCGCCAACTCGCATAGAAGAATGTGCGAATTTCTTCATGGCCTACGCAGTATGTGTCGATGTCTTTCTAGAAACGCACTGGTTCGAAGCCAACGCCCGTCACTTCCTGCTTGCCAATAAAAGTCTCCTGGCCCAGGTTTCCACGTTCCTGGATAGCTTTATGGAAAAGAAATGGACTACAAATCCCGAATGTGTCCCGGCTATGGAAAGCCGGGA